TGCTGAGCTAAAGTGCTCAAGATCGTTCCTGTTAATTCATTTCTCTATCCCATCCCATCATTTTCTTACCAATTTTCAACTAACACTACTTATGACAAAAGTTGCAGCAAGATCATTCTTATAGGATTTAATGAGCTGGTATTGGTAGAAAGAAGATATAGAATCGTTTGATATAACACAAAGAAAGCAGCAATCTGGCTACAACTGTTTAAAAAACCAATTCATACTGAGAAAGTGATGTTTAAAAATGACCGAATGCAGGCTTATTTGCCGTTAGCTCTTGGTGTTGCCTCTAGAAAAGCACAGTAGATACCAACAGTATCTCCAAGTTATCAAGTCTGTTGTTTTGGTGTTTCTGAAAGCAGATTGCAAAGAAAAAATTTAGATCATGGCCCCAAAAGGACAGCCCCCCCCCCTACTCAGTATGCCTATTTCGTAAAGCATCTAAGCATTTCGATGGCACTTTTTTGATCTTGTAGTTTGCCAAAAAGGGCAACTCGGTAAGCTGCGAAGAGGCATTTACCTCAAGTTTTTAAAAGTAGGGGGCAAGTGCCCCTGTGCCCCCGATCCCCACGTCTATGATTCAGCATGATCATGAAGGTTAAAGAGAAATGATCAAAGAGAATTTTTCCCCCTAATTGCTTTGCAAATGTATTTTTAGTTTTTATCAAAAAGGAAAATATTGTTATCCTATATGCTACATTTTCTACCAGAGTCTGTTAAATTCGGGATAAAGTATTTTAGACATCTGCGGTGACAAGGAATGAGCTGAGAGAGATTTTGGTGCCCAATGTACCTATATCCTAATGCACATAGGTATCAAGAGACTCTTGACACCTAGATTTAATTGACATTTAAATATTGATATGAACTTATATTGCTCGAAAACCAATTATTTGAAAAGGCAATTTGATGTCCCCGTGAAGCCCCCGTTCTACTAAAGAAACAGGAGCAGCTGTCTCCTTTACTTTACCAAAAATTTCGCTAATCCTTCTTTACCTAAAATGCAGAAAATATTTATAAAATGACCTTTTAGCTTTGCAAACGTAATGCAATCTAAATATGGTAGATAAGCTTGTGTATTTTTAATTTTTGCTATTTTTTTTGGTTTACGATAATGGTTTAGAAAACAACATGACTCTTCTAAAGTTACTTTGTAGAAAAGATGTCTCTTAAATTTCAACTTTCTATGAATTCCCCTTCATTTGAAAACCCTTTGAAGAAAGTTACAGGCTGAAAATTATATAGGCATCTCCTAAAGAAGAATCTTTTCAGGCTACCTATGATATAACCTCAGTCGTTTTATGCGAATTTCTACTGTATGGTATAGTGGAATCAATGCCTAAAATACAATGCTATGATACCTTACAGTACACTTGACGTCCTCTGAAAAGTCTCCACTGCTACTATTTGACTGCCCAGCTACAAATGACATCATTGCAATTGCTGCATATGTGTACAGTATAAACACAGATCTCTGTGTCCAAAACATTTTAGACGCACAGCCCTTCATCCTTATCTGATATCGTCTGCAACTTATGAAACCAACATGATGAAAATATGCAGGTGCCCTAATTCTCTATTAACTTTCTGTAGCTTAATCTTGATGAAGTAATGAAAAGAAACTGCTTGAAAAACAACAAATGAACCTTATTCTGTGATATTACCATCAGCACTTTCAAATAAAAACAGCAAAATCTTGTAAATAATGAATAACCGTGTGTTCAATTAAAACTGCAACACTTCAATTACCTTAAACAGCGTGAAAACACATTGCATCATCGAGTTTCCATTTTACGAAGAGATCCTCACCCTGCAAACAAAGGGCAACGTAGGAGGAGAAAATGTTTCTTTTCCTCTTCCCGCGCACGCAATTGCAAATTGGACACAGGCAGTCAAAGTTATGCCCAAATGTATGTTCATATCTTCAGCGTAGTTTTGTGAGTTTTCTTACCTCAACAATGTCACGATCATGTCAAGTTTTGATGGGCCTGAAGTAAACTAGGTTTGAACTACTTTATCAAATTTTCACTTGCTATCTCATTAATGAAGATGACAGTTAATGAAGGTAAATTAAGATAGAGGCAATTCGTCACTGATTGGACAACAATGCCCGTCATGTGCTTGCGTTTTTCTGATTGGCCTATTTCGATCCACAACTGGGCATATACTTTCCCCAAAGTAGTGTTTTGATCTATGTTCTGACGTTTATACTGTTAGGAGTGTCAGACGAAAGATAACCCAGATTGCTCAAAAACTCTATAACAGAAAGAGTCGTTGTCTCTCTTGGACTCCAGTGGTAATTTTTGGTAATTATTGTATTTAACAATTGGATATATATTTTCCATCGTTTTCTTTCGGACCTTTATTCTGAAGTTTTATGCTCAAAGGAGTGTCAGGCGCAAAAGCTTTTAGTATTATGTTATGAAATGTTTGCTTTTCCAAAGCCATTTTCAACTTCTGTACCGCAAAAAATTGTTCACATCTTTCTTAATTGTATAACAAGATTTTTCGAAGCAAGCTGATTCTTCTTCAATTGAGTTATCTTTTTAGTCTTGAATACTGACTGTCATTTATCCAGCTATCTAGAATACATTGTAGATGGTGTCAATTATGCATTTAACGTTTTACAACGCTGGAACGTTTCAACTAGACAATAAAATAATAAACTTTGACTGTTTTCTTGATAGCATTTTAAGTTTACCTTAACGTTCGTATTCTGTTTCAGTCCTTTAAATCGAGTGGTTTTAGCTAGATATAGAAGAACGGTAGAGGTCATAGATTGCAGCTGATTGATGAGTGGTTATGGCATAGGTGCAGTGTATGTAGAAAGGAAAAAGCCTTTTATTTCCTATCTAGATCTAGTGACAATCCAAAGTCAGGATTGCAGCAAATTTACTGCACCATTGAGCTAATTTTTAATTTTTATGACATGCTGACCCTATTGATTAGTTCTATCCTACCCTGCCCTGCTATGTTATATCTTGGTTATTTCTCAGGTGCAGGAAGTATGGAAAAATTCTAATTGAGATAAGCAAATCTGTAAAAGTTCAATTGAATTGAAAACTTCGGTGAAATGGTACAGTGGTTGCTAAGCTACCTTTTCTGTGGAGTTTCAAATAGTCCACAGTTCCTTTTGTATCTCGAATTCTGAGGAAATTTATTTGCTTTAAGACTGTTGTCCCCTTTCTCTAAGACCAAAGGGTGCTTCACATTTTAGTGATGATGCATCGATGGTACCTCAAATAGCCCAATTCTTTTATTTCATTTCCTTATTAATTGGGATTAATCTTACTTCCTGTGCCACAAATGAAAATTCTGGGATTTATTCTCCAAGGTATCTCAACCCTGTATCTGGAAGATTCTTTTCTTATGCCCCCAATGCAATAGGTATTAAAAGAACTGTTATCAAAATTGAAAACAAAGTTAAAAGCATAAGCTCAACTGGCAGTTCATATCCTTCTTTGTGATAGGTGGTGTAAGAAACAACAAATTTAGAGTGAATGTTAACCATAGCAAAATTAAAACTCAATGCAAGGAAGATAAAGCGAACTGAATAATACAGGCGTGACGTAGACGATCTTTGCTACAAACCTGAAGAAACAATTTTCTTAGAAAAAAACATTGAATTTCAGACACAGTATCTGAAATTGAAATGAGCAATGCGAAGGTAGACAGCTTAGATAAATAGACAGAACGTAAAAAGTAACTATATACTATAAATAGTAACATGATTAGTATAGAATCCATTTTTACATTCATTAGTCTCATTCAAAAGAATGTTTGAGAAATAAATTATGCACCTAGAAAACTTTAATTCTAATTTTGTCAAAGTCATATTGTTACCAACTACGTTGTTTATGTGCAGACAATCAAGCAAATGTGCAAAGCCCTGACTCAATAATATTACTTGTTCACTTTGGCAAATTTATTTTCTGAATGTAACATCTAATTGTTTTTCAAGTATGTCTTCTCGTAGCTGCTCAATTTGTTCTCTTAAATCTTTAAGAACGGCTCTCTCGACAGTCTTTGAAAAGTCTTCAAATCTATCTTCCAATCGGCCTAGAAGAATTTTGCACGTTTAAGTGGTTGGTTTCGCAAGAGATGTAAGAAATATTTTTCAAAGATGACATTAATCTGTATAATTACTTCTAAACTCTCGTATGTTTGGATGTTTCAAGTATTTCATCAAAAGAAAAGAACAAAAAGGTGTCACTGAAGTTCAGAGAATAAGATGGTCTAGTTGCCAATAGACTATATGCAATAATTATAAACCCATGGATCAATTAGAAACTGAAGCCAAATAAAGTAAAAATAACCAAGTAGACTTTAAGTAATTAAGATGTTCATGAGCTTCCATTATGTCTATGAGTTGGTATTTGTGCCAAGAAAACATTAACTATAAATGATACGATAGTAAAATATTCAATTCTTACCATTTTTAAATACTGCGAGTTCAGTGTTTTGAACTGTTCCTTGTTTTCTTTTCTTTTGTCTGTATAGCTTATAAACAACTGTAGCTGCGAGGCCGATCAAAACCGTTACGGCGCAGCAGCCAAACAGTGTTATTAGTACATTCTTGGAAATCACAGCTGATCCAAATATTCCATTTTCGAAACCCAATGTTTCCGGAGGCTCGTCTGGAAGCTAGAAAAATATATGAAGCCACATTACCATAATCAATCTTCTAATGTTGAATTTTTGATAATCTCGGGGGAATAATGATCAGTTAGTATATAAAAATATATACAAGTCATTACCTGTGTAAAGTTTCTTCAAAATTTACAAATGTTACAGTGAAAATATTAAGTAACATGATACTTTAAGAATTTATCACGCATCTAGTAAATCGAGCTATCTTCAGCTATCTTCAATGTCGCACCATTCTGAAATAACCAGTACTTATGACCTTGCCAGTCCAATGCTGTTCTCACATGTCGTGGAAAAATAACAAACATATTGAGTATAATTCCTTCTAGCAGTCGAGCAGCAAGAAAAGAGGTCTACTGCATGTCATTTTGATTCCAATCCTATCAAACAAACAATCCGCTACCCCTAATTCAGCTAATTTTGCATAAAAAGATGCTACTTTTATTAAATGTAAGACATTAAGAAGCACCCACGATATTGTGGTTCATTGATTGAAGAAAGAAGACATTCGGTTACCACGGGAAAGGCTCAAGTGGCTGAAAGCAGAGTCTCCTGAATCGAATTATCAATCAAAAAAGAATCATGACCATCCAAGATCGCTAAATTACAAATTTTTCTCGTTTAATTTAGCAAATGAAGACGCTTATCACTGTTACCTGTTCTGGCTTGTATTATGACACAAAAGTTTTCATTTACCAAGCTTGTTCGTATCGAAAGGCAAAGATTTTAGTCAAGATTCGGCTGATCTGGCTAGTCTTCAAGAATCAAAGGCAAAGATTTTTTATATTGAATTAAAGTAACTCATTGAATTCCTATGCAAAGGTCAATATATCTGTTTCAATTTTCCATTTGCAGAGGTCATTCAAAAGACATCGTCAAATATTGCTGAAAGTTCAGAAAAGATGACATTACTGCTGTTTGTATAGAACTAAAGAACTGAAGCTTGCGATTCCGTAAATATACTAGTTTGTGTTTCGTACAATATAATGTGTCAATTGATAATGGACTATGCTTAGCCAGACTCTATGGAGGAGAAAAACGCGGGAGGGGGGGGGGGAGTCTGCATGCAGGCTAGCTACGCTCAAAACTTTCGTTTTTATGTACGAAAAATGATTACATGAAATTGGGTAGGTAGGTAGGTAGGTAGGTAGGTAGGTAGGTAGGTAGGTAGGTAGGTAGGTAGGTAGGTAGGTAGGTAGGTAGGTAGGTAGGTAGGTAGGTAAGTAGGTAGGTAGGTAGGTAGGTAGGTAGGTAGGTAGGTAGGTTGGTAGGTAGGTAAGTAGGTAGGTAGGAAGAAAATGGAAAGATTCTAAAGCAAAGGCAGGAAATTCGCATACTTAGCAAGTGTTACAAATTTGTTTGGTTTTTCAAGTGAATATTGACACGTTCCGTACCTTCTCTTTCATGCTCTCTATTGCATCAAACATTATACGACTCTGGGTGTCCTCATTTTCTTCTTGAAAGTATCTCAAAAAATCTGCCCAGTAACCCAAACTTTTATCTGAAAATATCATGCCAAAGCTGATGTCTGTGCTTGCAACATCTTTTTTTACTGCCAGCTTGATACCAGAGTCCTGAAACTGTTTCCAGTGGTATCTCAAAATTAGTCTATCCATCAAGATGCCTGAAACAAAAAGTGCCCGAAGCAACAATATAGCAAGGATTGATAAATGAGAATTTGAGTGCAGACAGAAACATTTTAAGAATTTACTAAAGACAAATCGATAATATCCACAGTATGGGCTAGTAAGTATAGGAAAGGAATGCGAGAGTTATACCATAAATTTGCTGGTACCTTTGTAAATTTATGCCTTAGGTAAGTCAGGTAATTGGGGGGCGTAATTTGGGAGGGGGGATAATTAGGGGGTAATTTGGGGGGGTGAGGGTCTTAGTACTTAAAAGTTTCAAATCTATATGCATAAAGAGGAATGAACAACTTCTAGACCTACGAACACCATATCTTTTTTGCAGAGTGCAAGTATTATTCTCGAACTTATATAATCTTGAGTGAGGAATAATACAAGCTATTTGTGCAATACATGTTTTGACATTGGCACATTCATTTCTGAATGTAAAGCAGATTATATTGGCTTATTACTAGATTAAATGTATTGGTGTAAAGTTGAGTAAAAATGCAAACCGTCAATTTTTCCTCTACTCAACGATGTTATCAGGTCAGACACTTTTCGATACCCTAGAACATTTTAAAATAAAATGAAATTATTCTTAACAAAAGTTTAAAACGACAAAATGCTTCTAGTCGCATATCTGCATAAAATGAGACTTGGGTTACAAACAAAGAAGCTACCGTATATCCTCGAATAAGCCGCTGGGGGCTCAAAAATTCACAAAAATTATTTTTGGATCTGGGCTTATTTGAGGTTTGGCCTTATTCGAAGGTTGGGGGTCATTTAGTATCCGCCAAATGTATTATCAGTGTAGATTTTCTTCCTCTTTTCTAGGCTGGTCAGTAATCTTCAAAATGCAAATAAATTGAGATAAACCTATTGCTGTCAAGGCAGTACCTCAGCTCATGGGAGCTTGTTCGAGGTTTGGGCTTTTTTCAAAATAATTACATTAGGGTGGTGGCTCTTTCGAGAGTGGGGGGCTTGATCGAAGATGGGGGCGTATTAAAAAACTCACGGTATGTCAGTGTATCTCGGGCCATTGCCCTGCTATGACCTTTTCTTGGGTACACAATGTTTTTGACAAAGATTATCTATAAACACTGGCAAAATAATATATTTGACAATGCTGCCAACAGTCTAGATAAAACAGGATAACCTACGTAAATTGATTCCTGAATACCTCCTTTTGATTGCGGTAAAGCTAGAAAAGGGCCTCAGGGTAGGGGTGCCGTCCTATACAGTTAGGAAGGGGGTTGTGCTGTAGGAAACTTCTAAAAACCACAATCAAGACCACATCCATGATAAAACCAAGTATACTTGTATTTATGCTAAAGACATTCTGTTGTAAATGTGAAATTATTCAAACTGTTTATAGAATCTAAAAGATGAGAAAAATTGCACAATATCCAGGCATTTAGGGGGGGGGGGCTAAGTCCCTTGAACTCTCAATCATAGCGTCTAGGTTGTCCTATGGCAAAGCTTTAACAAGGAAAAGAAAGAAGAGGTTGAGAAAGGAGGGCGATTAGGCTTTTTATTCTAGTTTTGAAAGCTAGTTAGGATAGCATTTTCGAATAGACTAAGAAAAATTTAATGTATTTCACCGAAAATCCTCAAAGCTAGCCCTGGGCTAACCCTAGGGGCTTATTTATTTTTGATATTTTTGGATAGGGGCTTATTCTAGAGGAGGGCTTATACGAATGGAGGGGGGGGGGGCTTGCAAAATTATTGTAGAAATTAAGAAGACATTATTAAAAGACCTTGTTTATTTAAGTAAGAATTTTTGAGTAAGTAAGAATATGAGCATTTAATTGATTTTTACCGAAAGTATGAATTTCCTTGGTAATTCGATAAAACGCAAAGGAAACGGAAACTTGAGAGGTCCAATTAGAGAACTTACGGTAGCAGTGGGGGCTTATTCGAGGGGGGGGGGGCAATTCGAGAATTTACGGTATTTACAAAAAAGATTGCTTAAATTTAGACATAATGTTATACTATATGTTTCATAATGTCATGTTTTTGTAAAAGAAATGCCCTTTTTTACCAATTGCTTTTCCGCCTTCCCTGTAGATGATGTTCTGCTCAAAACCATATGTAATCTTTTCCAAAAATCCAACCTAATAAAGAACCTATAATTACCTTTCAACTAAAACATCAATATTTAAATCTAGAATTATCATTTCAGATGATGACACAATGCAATACTTTCAAAAACTTTTACGTTATCCTGTCCTGCCATCAAAATTGCATCTGTATACGTTGTAAGAACATCTATTTCTAAAAGATGTCTAGTAATGTGACATTTCGTAACTGACTACTCTCTGATTTGATTCTGATGAATTGATTCTGACAGTATTCTTTTAACTGAAGGCATAGGGCTATCAAAGGAATAACGTTACATTTTTGCCATTTATGCTTGTCTTCCCACTTATTGCTGCTGATGTTAAAGTCGAAGTAATAGAAGCTGTGAAAAACCCTGAAATGACAATTCCCAAGGTTATCCACAGCACACCAAACGCTCTACCAGCAAATGAACGCGGGGACTTGTCTCCGTACCTAAGACAGACAGATAATCTTTAGGTTAGAGTTCTCAATTAGATTAAAGCTCATTTTCTAAAGCATTGCTTTATCGTGAAATATTTAATGATGAACATAAAAATGTGTGCAAAAGAAGTGTGATATAATTTTTTTGCAGATGATACACAACAAGTGACTACATTGATAATGGAGGGGAAGGAACAAGCAAATATAATGGGAGCCTGAACGGAATTTTACTGTAAGAGACATTCTTTAGGGGTTCAAAACTATATAGATAAGCATTGGGGAAGTTAGGGGTGATATGTTTGTACCGAATGACTTGAATAAGTGCTACCGAAATTTTTTAAATCAGGATAAACCAACTACGCTTACCCGACAGTTGTCATGGAAACGTAAGCCCACCAGCAGCCTTCAAGAGAACCTTTTATGAATGACCGAGGGAATTCCTCTGCGTTTTGTCTTGTATCCTTGTTAAAGACGAAAACAGAATGAACCGATTGGTTTATCAGTTTTTGTAGCTTGGACAATTTAAAGAAAGGATGTTGGTTATGAATATTTGTGGTCCTTGATGGACTATGAATTCGGTAGAAAGTTAATATTTCTACAGAGTATTATGTCTGAAAATAGCCGAGGAAATTTGAGACTATAACTCAGCTTTTATGATCTCGGTACAGTATTCACTTTTTACAAGCAACAGCTTTCTTTGCGCATACTAAGCAATATTTACTTTTTACAGAGGCATTAATACTTTATTAGAAGAAGGGGGTTTTGCAAAATGCAGTAGCAGTAGCAAAACATGAAATACTACATGCTTTGTTATTAACAAAAGCTCATATGTGTTAAAATCCAAGAACATTGCTCAGGATGTACCCTTGCGAAACAGCAGACTGCCTCCCAAAAAGTATAGAGACTCTTTCGTAGTTTAATGCTTTTTCAAAATCAAGGAAAGTATCAAATCTTGTAATGTTATAAATACGGTAAGCGAAGAGTTTGTTGTCGTTTTCTATAGAATATGGTCCTATTCTCAGTGCCCTTACCAAAAATGTTTTCAATTGGGTTCAATTTTTCATGGGTCAGGATAAAATTGTGAAGCGAGCAAAAAACAAGCTTGGGTTTTTGGACGATGGGGGACCCTAAGTGTGGGAGTGGCCTCACAAGCCTTGAAAAGATCTTAGAACTGACCTTGGAACCTCACCTTCTAATTTTTTTAATAAAAAACATGGACATCATCTTAAATACACAGGACATTACAAGCACACCCAAATTAAATGAAAAAGCTATCACACGTAATCAAACGGTAAAACTATTATTAATTTTAAATGGAAGAAGGAAGCTGGTTATTTTATTATTATTATTGCTTTTCTTGCATATTCATTCAATTAAAATGAAATGATTACATTCCCTAAAAGATTCACAGCCAGGCACCCCCTCCCCCTAGTAACGCCATTGCTAATTAGGCCAATCGATATATGTTTAAAAAACTCCATTCACTCAGTCGCGCAGCGAATCAAGTGGAAACTGGCCCTTAGACAGTTCTTCGCTGAGATAAATGGTGACCCAAGAAAAACTGTATTTCTTCATGACGGAGTTGGAAAAATCTTTTTGCCCCGTTTCTGTATTTCCTCTGCTAAAAATTTTGTTTTCCCAGTCTCGAGTGGCTTGCAATTCTAAAATGTTTTAATGGCCAAAAGTTTTCTCTTCCCTATCGCGATGTTTTTGATCCCCGACAGAGTTTATAATTTTGGAAATTTTGGAAATCAGCACTGTCTCTAATGCCTGTTTGGGGTGCTACTGGGAGTGTTTTAGAAAGCGACTTACCAGAAGCCAAATGATGACACCACCCTCGATGGTCAATAGCACAATCATTGCAAGCAATGGCAATGTGTCTCCAAGCGAATGGAAGAGTCTGTCCAGCATTTGCTCTTGCGAGTCATCTATTTGAAGGTATGCCACACCAGGGTTATTCATGAGTTTCACATATGGCTTTCCAATGTAAAAAGCAGCATCTTTCGTTCCAATGGCTGGCATTAAAATTTGGTAATGGGATTTGTTGTAAAAGTTCGATATCCACTGATCCATGGTCTTGAACGGTTTTTGATATTTCAGCTGCGTGCAAGCAAAGCAACAAGTTTTCACCAAAATTTTGAATATGGCTAAAAATGAAGCAAAGAATTAATAAGAAAGTCAAAAAACCAATTTTAGAAATTTGAACTTATGCTCCTACAACTAAAATCCCTCTGAGGTGCCTTCAAATGTTCAGAGTCATTTGCAAGTTGCCCGAAATTTAACCAGTGATAAACCTTAAATTCACATGCAGATTATTGTCCTTTTGCCTGGCTCACAAATTTCAGAACCAGAGCCAAATTACAATAATTGAGCTAGTGTTCATGCAACAATATCCTAGCCTGCCTATAACAGATTTAACTGCCTTACAACATGTAGAATTGAACGATAACTCACGGTATTTTCAAGCCGCCATTAAATACATAATATTCTAAAAACAAGCTTTCATGACGTCACCCCTGAGAGACTACTAGTAGCATCACCTGGCAGAATTCCATCCAATGTTCCATTATGCAAAGTGTAAACGTATGGAGGCAAGTCATAGTTCCAAATTGTCAAAACCATTTTGCAGACTTGGTAGTATCCAGGATTTTTCGTTACGCAAGAAGCATTTTTAAAGAGATTTTTTGCAACACCAGCTGCCAAATCATACCTAAAAAGTATATTGTGTTTTAACTTAGTTATTAAAATCGTTATGATAAATAATTATTGCTGAGCTAAAGTGCTCAAGATCGTTCCTGTTAATTCATTTCTCTATCCCATCCCATCATTTTCTTACCAATTTTCAACTAACACTACTTATGACAAAAGTTGCAGCAAGATCATTCTTATAGGATTTAATGAGCTGGTATTGGTAGAAAGAAGATATAGAATCGTTTGATATAACACAAAGAAAGCAGCAATCTGGCTACAACTGTTTAAAAAACCAATTCATACTGAGAAAGTGATGTTTAAAAATGACCGAATGCAGGCTTATTTGCCGTTAGCTCTTGGTGTTGCCTCTAGAACAGCACAGTAGATACCAACAGTATCTCCAAGTTATCAAGTCTGTTGTTTTGGTGTTTCTGAAAGCAGATTGCAAAGAAAAAATTTAGATCATGGCCCCAAAAGGACAGCCCCCCCCCCTACTCAGTATGCCTATTTCGTAAAGCATCTAAGCATTTCGATGGCACTTTTTTGATCTTGTAGTTTGCCAAAAAGGGCAACTCGGTAAGCTGCGAAAGAGGCATTTACCTCAAGTTTTTAAAAGTAGGGGGCAAGTGCCTCTGTGCCCCCGATCCCCACGTCTATGATTCAGCATGATCATGAAGGTTAAAGAGAAATGATCAAAGAGAATTTTTCCCCCTAATTGCTTTGCAAATGTATTTTTAGTTTTTATCAAAAAGGAAAATATTGTTATCCTATATGCTACATTTTCTACCAGAGTCTGTTAAATTCGGGATAAAGTATTTTAGACATCTGCGGTGACAAGGAATGAGCTGAGAGAGATTTTGGTGCCCAATGTACCTATATCCTAATGCACATAGGTATCAAGAGACTCTTGACACCTAGATTTAATTGACATTTAAATATTGATATGAACTTATATTGCTCGAAAACCAATTATTTGAAAAGGCAATTTGCTGTCCCCGTGAAGCCCCCGTTCTACTAAAGAAACAGGAGCAGCTGTCTCCTTTACTTTACCAAAAATTTCGCTAATCCTTCTTTACCTAAAATGCAGAAAATATTTATAAAATGACCTTTTAGCTTTGCAAACGTAATGCAATCTAAATATGGTAGATAAGCTTGTGTATTTTTTATTTTTGCTATTTTTTTTGGTTTACGATAATGGTTTAGAAAACAACATGACTCTTCTAAAGTTACTTCGTAGAAAAGATGTCTCTTAAATTTCAACTTTCTATGAATTCCCCTTCATTTGAAAACCCTTTGAAGAAAGTTACAGGCTGAAAATTATATAGGCATCTCCTAAAGAAGAATCTTTTCAGGCTACCTATGATATAACCTCAGTCGTTTTATGCGAATTTCTACTGTATGGTATAGTGGAATCAATGCCTAAAATACAATGCTATGATACCTTACAGTACACTTGACGTCCTCTGAAAAGTCTCCACTGCTACTATTTGACTGCCCAGCTACAAATGACATCATTGCAATTGCTGCATATGTGTACAGTATAAACACAGATCTCTGTGTCCAAAACATTTTAGACGCACAGCCCTTCATCCTTATCTGATATCGTCTGCAACTTATGAAACCAACATGATGAAAATATGCAGGTGCCCTAATTCTCTATTAACTTTCTGTAGCTTAATCTTGATGAAGTAATGAAAAGAAACTGCTTGAAAAAAACAACAAATGAACCTTATTCTGTGATATTACCATCAGCACTTTCAAATAAAAACAGCAAAATCTTGTAAATAATGAATAACCGTGTGTTCAATTAAAACTGCAACACTTCAATTACCTTAAACAGCGTGAAAACACATTGCATCATCGAGTTTCCATTTTACGAAGAGATCCTCACCCTGCAAACAAAGGGCAACGTAGGAGGAGAAAATGTTTCTTTTCCTCTTCCCGCGCACGCAATTGCAAATTGGACACAGGCAGTCAAAGTTATGCCCAAATGTATGTTCATATCTTCAGCGTAGTTTTGTGAGTTTTCTTACCTCAACAATGTCACGATCATGTCAAGTTTTGATGGGCCTGAAGTAAACTAGGTTTGAACTACTTTATCAAATTTTCACTTGCTATCTCATTAATGAAGATGACAGTTAATGAAGGTAAATTAAGATAGAGGCAATTCGTCACTGATTGGACAACAATGCCCGTCATGTGCTTGCGTTTTTCTGATTGGCCTATTTCGATCCACAACTGGGCATATACTTTCCCCAAAGTAGTGTTTTGATCTATGTTCTGACGTTTATACTGTTAGGAGTGTCAGACGAAAGATAACCCAGATTGCTCAAAAACTCTATAACAGAAAGAGTCGTTGTCTCTCTTGGACTCCAGTGGTAATTTTTGGTAATTATTGTATTTAACAATTGGATATATATTTTCCATCGTTTTCTTTCGGACCTTTATTCTGAAGTTTTATGCTCAAAGGAGTGTCAGGCGCAAAAGCTTTTAGTATTATGTTATGAAATGTTTGCTTTTCCAAAGCCATTTTCAACTTCTGTACCGCAAAAAATTGTTCACATCTTTCTTAATTGTATAACAAGATTTTTCGAAGCAAGCTGATTCTTCTTCAATTGAGTTATCTTTTTAGTCTTGAATACTGACTGTCATTTATCCAGCTATCTAGAATACATTGTAGATGGTGTCAATTATGCATTTAACGTTTTACAACGCTGGAACGTTTCAACTAGACAATAAAATAATAAACTTTGACTGTTTTCTTGATAGCATTTTAAGTTTACCTTAACGTTCGTATTCTGTTTCAGTCCTTTAAATCGAGTGGTTTTAGCTAGATATAGAAGAACGGTAGAGGTCATAGATTGCAGCTGATTGATGAGTGGTTATGGCATAGGTGCAGTGTATGTAGAAAGGAAAAAGCCTTTTATTTCCTATCTAGATCTAGTGACAATCCAAAGTCAGGATTGCAGCAAATTTACTGCACCATTGAGCTAATTTTTATGACATGCTGACCCTATTGATTAGTTCTATCCTACCCTGCCCTGCTATGTTATATCTTGGTTATTTCTCAGGTGCAGGAAGTATGGAAAAATTCTAATTGAGATAAGCAAATCTGTAAAAGTTCAATTGAATTGAAAACTTCGGTGAAATGGTACAGTGGTTGCTAAGCTACCTTTTCTGTGGAGTTTCAAATAGTCCACAGTTCCTTTTGTATCTCGAATTCTGAGGAAATTTATTTGCTTTAAGACTGTTGTCCCCTTTCTCTAAGACCAAAGGGTGCTTCACATTTTAGTGATGATGCATCGATGGTACCTCAAATAGCCCAATTCTTTTATTTCATTTCCTTATTAATTGGGATTATTCTTACTTCCTGTGCCACAAATGAAAATTCTGGGATTTATTCTCCAAGGTATCTCAACCCTGTATCTGGAAGATTCTTTTCTTATGCCCCCAATGCAATAGGTATTAAAAGAACTGTTATCAAAATTGAAAACAAAGTTAAAAGCATAAGCTCAACTGGCAGTTCATATCCTTCTTTGTGATAGGTGGTGTAAGAAACAACAAATTTAGAGTGAATGTTAACCATAGCAAAATTAAAACTCAATGCAAGGAGAATAAAGAGAACTGAATAATACAGGCGTGACGTAGACGATCTTTGCTACAAAGCGGAAGAAACAATTTTCTTAGAAAAAAACATTGAATTTCAGACACAGTGTCTGAAATTGAAATGAGCAATGCGAAGGTAGACAGCTTAGATATATAGACAGAACGTAAAAAGTAACTATATACTATAAATAGTAACATGATTAGTATAGAATCCATTTTTACATTCATTAGTCTCATTCAAAAGAATGTTTGAGAAATAAATTATGCACCTAGAAAACTTTAATTCTAATTTCGTCAAAGCCATATTTTTACCAACTACATTGTTTATGTGCAGACAATCAAGCAAATGTGCAAAGCCCTGACTCAATAATATTACTTGTTCACTTTGGAAAATTTATTTTCTGGATGTAACATCTAATTGTTTTTCAAGTATGTCTTCTCGTAGCTGCTCAATTTGTTCTCTTAAATCTTTAAGAACGGCTCTCTCGACAGTCTTTGAAAAGTCTTCAAATCTATCTTCCAATCGGCCTAGAAAAGTTTTGAACGTTTAAGTGGTTGGTTTCGCAAGAGATGTAAGAAATATTTTTCAAAGATGACATTAATCTGTATAATTACTTCTAAACTCTCGTATGTTTGGATGTTTCAAGTATTTCATCAAAAGAAAAGGACAAAAATGTGTCACTGACGTTTAGAGAATAAGATGGTCTAGTTGCCAATAGACTATATGCAATAAATATAAACCCATGGATCAATTAGAAACATAAGCCAAATAAAATAAAGATTATCAAATAGAATTTAAGATGTTCATGAGCTTCCATTATGTCTATGAGTTGGTATTTGTGCCAAGAAAACATAAACTATAAATGTTACGATAGTAAAATATTCAATTCTTACCATTTTTAAATACTGCGAGTTCAGTGTTTTGAACTGTTCCTTGTTTTCTTTTCTTTTGTCTGTATAGCTTATAAACAACTGTAGCTGCGAGGCCGATCAAAACCGTTACGGCGCAGCAGCCAAACAGTGTTATTAGTACATTCTTGGAAATCACAGCTGATCCAAATATTCCATTTTCGAAACCCAATGTTTCCGGAGGCTCGTCTGGAAGCTAGAAAAATATATGAAGCCACATTACCATAATCAATCTTTTAATGTTGAATTTTTGATAATCTCGGGTGAATAATGATCAGTTAGTATATAAAAATATATACAAGTCATTACCTGTGTAAAGTTTCTTCAACATTTACAAATGTTACAGTGAAAATATTAAGTAACATAATATTTTAAGAATTTATCACGCATCTAGTAAATCGAGCTATCTTCAGCTATCTTCACAGCATGTCACATCATTCTGAAATAACCAGTACTTATGACCTTGCCAGTCCAATGCTGTTCTCACATGTCGTGGAAAAATAACAAACATATTGAGTATAATTCCTTCTAGCAGTCGAGCAGCAAGAAAAGAGGTCTACTGCATGTCATTTTGATTCCAATCCTATCAAACAAACAATCCGCTACCCTAATTCAGCTAATTTTGCATAAGTAGTGAAAATTTGCTACTTTGAATTCATTGTAAGACATTAAAGGGCTCAAAATGATGCAAGCCAAGAAATCTGAATCAAATAATCACTCTAAAAAAGGGACAGTTTGCATCGAAATGAGGTAACTCATTGAATAGGAGTAACTGTTTCAATTTTCTTCATGATATTGTTTTTGTGAATTCTAAAAACAAACAAAAGAAATTGTCACGAAGGATGCCAGTGCTATAATTTCTAATGCAAGAATACCTCTGTTGAAAGAAAATAGAACATTTGAAAAAACAAGCAAAACCCGGAATCCCCCGGCGAAGCCAGGAGAATTGAAAGTTCTGAGTCTGACTTCTGACTTCAATCCCCTATTGGGCTAATGCAAGTTTATTCAAAATTTTCAAGGTGTTACAAGATCTCGATTATGATTTTAGGAAAAAGATAGAGCAAATATCACTCGTGTCTAATTGTTGATCAAGCAAAATGTCATCGCGAAAACGAACTGGCCTCGAAATTACAAAATTCCAGGCTTTTTATCACATTATATGTTTACATTCGATACTGGGGACTCTTATTTCCTTTTGAAAATTCAGGTTCTCAGTCAAGGAAGCGGATCATGAGCACATTTAAAGAGACGGTAGAGGGGTTGTGGGTCCTATCCAAATTTTCCATGTTGATTATGACCATAGATCACAATCTTAAAAACCATAATAACAATAATGGTTTTCGTTATTATCATTATCAAGCCATCGATTTTACGTCATCATCTTGATCTTTGTTTTCGTCATCATATCAAAAATTTTATGAACACACTCACAAATACCAGCATGGGAATTTTCATCACCATCAGTGGCGTAACGGAGGCATCCCTAGGGATTTTTCAGTTCGAGCCCCGAAATTATAAAGCACCAAATGCTAATAAACAGACTTTCAATTTATTTTGAAGTATATATCATACAGTTTTGGGGATGGGGACCCTTTAACTGTTTTATCTAATCCAGAGTATAAGCTTCAAAGCAAAATATCAAAAAGAGAAGCCCTTGGGTTTCTTAACTAAAAGTAACTTGAATCCGTTACGCCACTAAGTTCCATTCGGTTCATTTCTCGTACAATAACAGTGAAGAGAACTTTTTTTTTAAATTTACTTTTACTTTCTCTTACTTTCCTGTATAATCATATTACCTGGAATCATGTTGCAAATTTCAAGCAATGGCATTAAATTTTTCTGTGATATGCAAAATAGAGAAACGGAAAATTTAGGACGAGGCGCATGGGTATTGAGGGGAGGTTCTCATAAGCTCTTGCTCTAGCAGGGGCATATACCGCATTTCCTCTAATAAACGCCGCCCTCTGATAAACGCCGCCCTCTATTGAACGCCGCATTCAAAATTTTGAGTTTGTAATCAACGCCGCGGCGTTCTTTAGAGGAAATACGGTAGATAACAAGTGGAGAACTTAGCCTACGGTTCTTTAAATTGAGTAAAGAAATGAAGCATACCTTCTCTTCCATGCTCTCTATCGCATCAAACATTATACGACTCTGAGTATCATCATTTACTGCCTGAAAGTTACTCAAAAAACGCGCCCAGTAACCTAAACTTTTATCTGAAAATATCATGCCAAAGCTGATGTCTGTGCTTGCAACGTCTTTTTTTACTGCCAGCTTGATACCAGAGTCCTGAAACTGTTTCCAGTGGTATCTCAATATCAGCCTATCCATAAGAATACCTGTAATAAGAAGTGTCTGAAGCAACCATATAGCAAGGATACATAAATAAGAGTTTGAATGGAGACAGAAACATTTAAAGAATTTACTAGAGATGAATCGAAAAAATGCATAGTACGGGCCAGTAAGCATAAGAGAGAAAGGAAAAAGTTTTACAGAAAAGACAAATTTCACAGATAGACGAACTATACAAAACTGAGCTTTCAAATTTGCATTTCAGCTAACGTGTTTCTAGCAACTCCATTTGCCTCGTACCTTTCGTCTCTGATAAATTACCTCGTAGCTACTTAAACTTGCGTCTCAAGTAAGAAGGGTATATTTTTTCTGGGAGGGCGGGGTGGAGGGAGAGTCAAAGTACTCAAATAAGCAATTCAACTCTATTTGCGTAAAGAGGAGTAGACAACTTTTCGATTATATTTATAAGTTTTATATTATACAAAAATTATATATATTTTGGCTGAATGCGAGAATTATTCTCAAGCTTTGATAATTTCGAGTCAGGAGGAATACAAGCAATTTGTACAATACAAGGCTTGATATTGGCACGTTAATTTATAGTTCCTGGTTGTAAAACAGATTATTTTGTCTTATTACTCAATGAACTGTATTTGTGAAAGGTTGCAGTAAGAATGCATACCGTCAATTGTTCTTCTCCTCAATGAAGATATCAGGTCAGACACTTTTTGATAACCTAAAGCATATTGAAATAACATGAAATCAATCTCAACTGAAAAAAGTTTAAACGATATAATCGTACTGAGGTATCCGTTCATATCATTCCAATTACTTTTAGCCGCAATACCTAAGCTATTGTTGTCGTAACAATACCTCAGCCCAAGAGAGCTTGCTCGAGGTGGGGGCTTTTGTCACAGTAGGGGCTTAATCGAGAGGGGCTTTTCGGAGGTGGGGGTGTGTTCAAGGCCTTACAGTATGTCAGTGTGTTCCTGGTCATTGCCCTGTTATGCCTTCCAGGGTGTACAATGTTTTTTTGACATAGAGAATCTATAAAATCCGGCAAGAAAGTATTATAGACAATGATCGGTTAGAGGTACAAAACCCGGTGATCCACTTGCATTTCACTGTATTTGAGATCACAATGACATGCTTGGAAGAATTATGACAAAAAACTGCATTTTACCAGGATTAAGTATAGAGCTTTCAGTAAAACCCCAATTCTCCTTTGGCTGAGAATCTACTGGCCCTCGAACCAAGCATTAATAGAGGACCCAGGAAATACTACGGAGCTGGTGTCGTGAAACAAAATAAATCGTTAATCCCAAACAAGAGAACATTCTTTTTTCAGAATATTTTCTTAGCAATTTGTGCAACATTATTTTACCAGAAACGACTAGTTTTCTCCTGCCAAAAGTCTGGATAAAACAAGGAAGCCCACGTAAATTTATTCCCGTATAGCGCCGTTGATAGAGGAGCCTGGATTATGGTAAATATAAAGTTTAGAGACGGGCTGTACTGTAGTAAACATCTGGTAACCACACCCACATCCTTGATGACAGCCAGTACATGTGCTACAGTACACGACTCTTTGTTGTGTATGTGAAATCATTGAGACTGCCTAATGACCCTAAAAGATGATAATGGTTCATTCTTGGAAATTTTATAGCAAAATAAAGGTTTAGTTACATCCCCAAGCTTGTAAGGGGGTGGGCTAAACCCCCCTCGAGCCACCTGCCATGGCTTCCATGCATGGGGATCCTATAGAAAAGCCCTAACAAGAGAAAGAAGAAAAAGGCTGTGAAGTTTTTATTCTAGGTTTGAAAGGTAGTTTGGATAGCATTTTTGAATAAATTTGTTAATCATGTTTAAACATAATGTTGTGTTGTGTACTTTATCATTTCATGTTATGTAAAAGAAATGTTGTTATTTACCAGTTGCTTTTCCGCCATCCCTGTAGATGATGTTCTGCTCAAAACCATATGTAATCTTTTCCAAATATCCAACCTAATAAAGAACCTATAATTACCTTTCAACTAAAACATCAATATTTAAATCTAGAATTATCATTTCAGATGATGACACGATGCAATACCTTTCAAAACCTTTAAGTTACCCTGTCCTGCCATTAAAATTGCATCTGTATACGTTGTAAGAACATCTATTTCTAAAAGATGTCTAGTAATGTGACATTTCGTAACTGATCACTCTCTGATTTTTTTAGAAATAACATGATATACTAAGGATTAGATAAGTATGATGAATTGATTCTGACAGTATTCTCTTAACTGAAGGCATAGGGCTATCAAAGGAATAACGTTACATTTTTGCCGTTTAGGCTTGTCTTCTCACTAATTGTTGCCGAGGTTAAAGTCGACGTAATAGAAGCTGTGAAAAACCCTGAAATGACAATTCCCAAGGTTATCCACAGCACACCAAACACTCTACCAGCAAACGAGCGCGGGGACTTGTCACCATAACTAAGAAAGATGAAATTTAGGTTAGAGTTCACAATTAGGTTAATGTTTATTTTCTAAAGCATTGCTTTGGCGTGAAATACTTAATAATGCACATAAAAATGTGCGCAAGGGGTGTGTAAACGTGATGTGTTTTCTGCAGATTTTGTTTAAATAGTGATACACAAGAGGTGACCCAAATGATAATGGGGAGAGGGAACAATCAAATTCATTGGTAGCCTGAACGTTTAATGCTTATTGTGCATGGAATTTTACTGTAACAGATATCCTTTAGGGGCTCAAATCTATTAGATAAGCATTGGGGAAGTTAGGGGTGATATATTTGTACCGAATGACTTGAATAATTGCTACTGATATTTTTTAAATCAGGATAAACCAACTATGCTTACCCGACAGTTGTCATGGAGACGTAAGCCCACCAGCAGCCTTCAAGAGAACCTTTTATGAATGACCGAGGGAATTCCTCTGCGTTTTGTCTTGTATCCTTGTAAGGGACGAAAAAAGAACAGACTGGCTTTTTGGTTTTGGTAGATTAATTTAAAGAAAAGATGTTAACCTTAATTTGGATATGGTTATTGATATTTGTGGTCCTTGATGGACTATGAATTTGGTAAAAAGTTAACATTTCCAATATTTCTACATAGTATTGTGTTTTAGGAGAGCTCAGCTTCTTTTGTCAAAGTAAATAGGGTTTTTTTGTGAGGCTGGGCTAAGCCCACCTTTAAAAAGCCAGTTTATGTTTTGTTCGGCGAATTTTTTACTTGAAAATGCATTCGCTGTTTTCACTGTTTCCACTTGGCCCAGTTTCTGCTGTCCCCCGCTTAAAATTTAGCTTTCCCCGTCTTGAGAGCTTTCAATTCTATAAATTTTTGATATGCCAAAAGTTGGCTCTTCTCTGTTTTAGCTAGCATCTTACCAGAAGCCAAATGATGACACCACCCTCGATGGTCAGCAGCACAATAATTGCAAGCAAAGGCAACGTGTCTCCAAGCGAACTGACGAGCCTTTTTAGCATTAGCTCTTGAGAATCATCTATTTGAAGGTAGGCCACACCAGGGTTGTTCATGAGTTTCACATACGGGTTTCCAAGGTAGAGAGCAGCATCTTTGGTTCCAATGGCTGGCATTAAAATTTGGTAATAGGATTTGTTGTAAAAGTTTGACGTCAGCTCCTTCATTGTCTTGAACGGCTTCTGGTAATTCAGCTGCGTACAACCAAAGCAACAGATTTTCACCAAAATTTTGAGTATGGCTGAAAATTTATCAAAGAATCAATGTCTTGTAGAACAAACTGCATAAATTAGCCTGCGTCATAGACCATAGATATGTGCGGAGCCGATTTATTTCGTCGTTTTTGTTCGGGAGATGAATCATGCCTGTCTTCCAGACAAGCACTAGCCCTCGTTTCAGGGTCATTGCACATGCGTATTATCACTTGAAGCCCTGGCAGGAAGTTCAAGAGTTGCGTGGTCACAGGCAGAACCGTTGTGCGAATGTTGTTATTAATGCGCATGTGCAATGACCCTGTAACACTGATAGGGCTTTAGGTTTGGTCTCCCGAACAAGTTTATAATTGCAGTATGAGATTGATGCTCTATTGGTGTCGGGTAACCTCACTAGCCGCCAAATTCGCGCCAATTATGGATGCTTGGAAAAGGTCACAATGATCAAATATTGTAAGTAAAAAATCATCATTTAATTTCAAAGTAAGAGAACCGACTTTAAAAAGAGAGGCGTGATTCGCAAAAAGTTACTTATGCTGTCATTGTTCCTTATACTGACTAAGTGTTAAAGTCGAAAAACCAATTTCAATAACTGAATATTGGTCACACAGCCATAAATAGCCATAAGGTACCTTTAAATGCTCAGAATCAGTTAGATCTGTTGCAATTTGGCAAAAATATAAACCACAGTAGACTTGTATTTTACGCACTTTTTTATCAGGAGAATAAAGTATATTAGATTATTGAGGCTCCAAATCTCAAAAATTTAAGAAGAATAATTTAAGAATAATGCAAGACTCAAGCTTCACCAAAAATCAATTTTTTGGAGTTTGTGGTGATAGGCCTTTATCTCACATACTCTCAAGTTCCTAATTGTAGAGGGTCTAATAAAAAGGTAGGGGTGGGCATTTTTTAAAAAACCCTAAAATGGGAGGAGGGTCATAATAGATTAAAATGCTTAGATTTTCCGAAATTATGTTTAAATTGGGGGGTGTTTAAATAGGAATTTTGCATGTAATAAATAATTTGGGGGGCGTTAATAAATAGAAATGGGTATGCAAAATTTCTGAAAATGGAGTTTATCCCCCTCCCCCTACAATTAGAAACTTGAGAGTACAGATTACTGTTCTTTTGGCCTGCCTCAAATATTTTAAGAGCAAACCAAAATCACAATGATTGACCCGACCAAATATACAAAAAGTTTGAAAATAGGTTTTTACGATGTCACAACTCAGAGACCTCGTAGCTTACCTGGCAGAATTCCAACCAGTGTTCCATTTTGCGAAGTGTAAACGTACGGAAGCAAGTCATAGTTCCAGATTGTCAAAGCCATTTTGCAGACTCGGTAGTATTCAGGAACTGTCACTTCGCAAGAAACATTGTTAAACATATCTTTCGCAACACCAGCTGCCATATCATATCTAAAAGCAAATTGTGTTTTAACTAAGTTTTTTTTAATGGTTATGATTATTAATTATTGCTGGTATTTTCTATTTAAAAGCGATACACTCTTTCCTTTTTATAAGAACAAATTTATAAGAACACGAGCCTCAAAATTGGTCAAAAGTTAAGGGCACATTAAGAACAAGCTGAGGCTGAGCTTCTGCAAAATGCAATTTTGAACAATGTTTTATCTCAAGAATGAGGATTTTTTGCGACGTGTGGGTGCTTTTTCGGTGAATATTCAAACTTGTCGGCAAACGAAGGTTGTCTCACTCACTTCTTTGGCAATTGAGGCCTGAACACCTCCCTAGAGCGAAAAGGCTAGCAATCACACTGCTTACACCCTACTAATTTAAGAACAAAAAAAGAACAATCCAGCATCAGATTTTCAATAAGATTAAGAACAGTCGGCCTGAACTTAAATTTACTGGTTCTTGTAAACAAAGAGTGTATCTCCACATAAAAAATCCAGAGCCGAATTTCTTTATTCCATGCAATAAATCATTTTCTTATCAACTCGAAACTAGCGATAATTATCACGTAAATTGCAGCAAGGTTAATTTTATATCCTGGAATAAACATGTATTGGGAATATAGAATAGTTTGATACAGCACAAGACCCCCCTCCCCTCACCAGGAAGACAGCAATCTGGCTACAACTGTTTCAAAAACCAAGCCATACTGAGAAGTTAATGCAGGAAAAGACCGAATTAAAGCTTTTTTGCTGTTAGCTCTGCTTTGTTTGTTTTGCCTTTGCTTATCAATCACTTTGATCCTGATTTCACAGTAAACTCATTTCAGCAAACTGGTAAGCAATGTTTATTTCAGATAAAAGTTTCAAAGAGACTGAAACTTGAAATGGTTTTTATTTAATGAGTCAATTATAAATTTTGTCTACATTTTTTAACTTGGCTAATCCCCCTTTACCCTTAAAAATATCTATAAAATGATCTATTTTCTTTGCAAAAGTAATTCAATCGAAATTCAATGGATAAGTTAAGCATTTATGATTTTTGTCATAATCTCATTTGGCTAACGACAATGATGTGGAAAACAACTCTTCTAAAGTTTCTTTGTAGAAAAGATCTCTTTTAAATTGCAATTTTTTATGAACCCCCCTTCATTTGGTAATCCTTTTGAGAAATTTAAAGGCTGGAATTATCATGATTTATGTCAGAATATAATCTATTTGGGCTGCCAATGATAAGTCCTCAGTCGCTTTATGCAAACTTCTACTGAATGACGTAGTGAAATACTATGCTACGATACCTTGAACTACACTTAACCTCTGACAAGTGTCCACTGCTATTATTTGGCTGGCCAGCAACAATTGACATCATTGCAATGGCTACATGTGTGTACAGTATAAGCACAGATCTCTGTGCCCAAAGCATTTTTGACTTGCAGTACTTCATTTTGATTTGTCATCGCCTTCAACTATTGATACCAACATGACGAAAACATGCAGGTGCCCTTTTTCTCTGTTGATTTACTTGATTTGAATCTTGATAAAATATTGAAAGTAAACTGAAACCACAATACAATCACCTGCACCATACACAGAGAGAGAAGACATTACGTCAAGTTCCTCCGCTGCCAGAGGAGATCCTCTAGCTGCAAACAAAGTACAGTGAAGGAGAAAATGCTCGTTTTCATCAATAGATGTCAATATTATGAACTAAATTTTAAGCGCATTTTGTAAGCCTCTTTACCCCAACAATGTCACGATCATTAGATGTCAAGTTTTTTGTGGGCCTGAAGTAGTTTGAGTTTGATTTTCACGTAATCGAAATTGCACTAGCTATCTCATTAATGGATAAAGCAGATTGATAATGAAGATGAATAAAGATGCATGAAGATTAATGAATATATGAGAATAAAGATGTCATTGAAGAGAATGTATCATTCTTTGGGTTCTTCTTTGGAAGCTAATTTACAGGACGTCACACTACATGTTGCCGGACATTACTAAATTAAATATCAAGTACAAACCGCTACAAAAGCTCAGAAAGTGTGTTAGAAAAGCTGGTTAGGAAAAGGAGCTCTCCATAATCTTTGTTCACAAAAGAGCGGAGAATGTATGTCGCTGTTCACACAATGGAATCAATTGCAATAAATATGTTAAGGTGCAGATTGTTTCAAGTTTCAGAAATGATATAAACGTCTGTAGCACCTTCTTTGATAGATAATCTTCCAGCCTTGTTCATCACAAAGCCTTTGACTGCTTGCAGTCCTTCACGCACCTGCTACTGCCAATACTGTCAGGTATTGGGTCTGTTCTAACCATTTAGTGATATTCAACGTCATTTCTAGTTAAACGTTATTGTTAAAAATAATGTCACCGTATCGATCTGTTGTTTCGCACAAAGTTTATAAATATGCTTCAGAACGTTCCTAGAAACATATTTGGTGAGACATCTTTTCATACCAATGCCTCTTTTTGCCTTTCAAACTGCCTTCCTAATGTGTCATCGAAAGTTGAATTTTGCATCGAGGATCAAGCCAAGATGCTTGTGTTAAACTTTCTTTTCTATCACTCAATTTCCTAACATCAGAGCAGGGTCATATCATCTCCCCATGCACAATGGGGTGGATGCTTCTTTTCCCTATCATTTGCTGGTTTCCCTTGTCTGCCTAACTATCATTTTGTTTTTAACACTGGATTGCGTGCAAAACTTAATATCAAAATGGATGCAGAAATACCTTAGAGGAGATGGCAGGGAAAAGCCTCAAGTTGAGGGTCTTTTTGAGAAATATGATCATATCTATGGTGAACTTAGTTTTTGTAATGTCAGACTAAATTAAAAGGTGATTTTCACAGACGCGTTTAGCCTATGGTACTCGTTTCCTAACCATTTAACTTCAGCAGCAAGCATTACATTAACACTATTCTGATTAAAGTCCCCTGGAACATAGTTCCCTCAAGTATAGTATATGCCTCCTTCAAAGGCGATTTAAAAAAAATAAACCCCCTGAATACCTTAGACCGGTTGGCATGGATTCTAAGTAGCATATATTTGGAATGGGCCCTTCTCCATCTAGCACCCGATTGATGTTGGAAAAGTAAGCCCCCTTCCCCGGAGGTTTAATGCAGGATTAAACGCAAAATCTTCAGTCCCTTCCACACGGTGCTGGATATCTTTTAAAACGCAATTATTTTTATCCGTTGTAAAAAAGTAATTCCATCCACACTAGGTGTGTTATATAAAAAATATCACAAAACCAAACCAAAGCAATTGAAATTTGGCTATGAGCATGGACCTTGGTGCCAATTTTTCATTTGCTTTGTTTAATAATACTGCTCCACGATAATAACATTGAACATATCGAAAATCTTATCTTAGAAACCTTCAGAAACAAGGACTAGTGAGTTGTTTGTTTGGATAGACGACGAGGTGGAGCTGTTTCTGAAAGCCGCTTATGATTATAGTCTGGAGTCCATGTATATAATGATTATTTTTTAATCAAATAAATGTTTGGTAATGCAAAATTCGAAGATGGCACAAAATAGCAGAGCATAGGATACTAAAGTACTTTTTATATGACACTCTTAATAGACCAGAGGTGAGAGGGGGAGCATTATCACCTGAGCTGGCAATTAACCAGACTAACTTTTTCTGACTCAACTTTTTGCGTAGATAACGAATCCGGATGTTGCTTTGGCGTTTAGGGGGGCGTTTTCTAGATATAGGGGGTCAAAGCCCAAAAACTTGTATAGAGTATATGTAAAAGAGTATAGAGACAAGCTTCAGCGGCCGCTTAACTCTTATTAAGTTGAGGATTCCAAGAGAGAAAACGATCTTGTTCTGTCCATACAAGTCGAGATCCTCTGTTTTTATGTAAACCGTTTCCTACTGGACCTGACGTAATGTGCCTCGGAACAGGGTTTCTTATTACGGAAAAAATTATGGGACTGGGTATTATGATATTATGAATTGCATCAAAACTCTGGCACAGTGTATATTCGCCATTTAAACGTAAACGTCAACGTAAACGTCATCCAAACGTAAACGTCAGCTTTTTCAAAAGTTCAACGCTGGGGGGCCTTTGTAGAAAGTTACATTTTCGGTGACCGAAAGCGCCGGCTAAAACGAATAAAAATTTAGATAAAAGGGAGGATCTGCTTTCCGCCGGATTCGGTGAATCTTGCAATGAGTAATAATACGAAAAATAGTCAGGAACAAAGCAACACGACGACAAGAATCCATTGCAATGAGGTAGATTTTTTAAGCTTATTTTGACACCAGTAGTCTAAAGGAGGCTCCGCATGACCTCGAGGTAAAATAAAAATTTCTTTGGAAGTTGGAGGCCAAGGCACCATTGCACAAAACATTACCATCGAGATTGAAATTGTTATGGTAAAATGTATGCGTGCCGCCAGTCTATAGAAACAAGAAGCAGATTAATACAATATCTGAGTACATGTAAAAGAAAGAGTCTTGAAAAAATAGACCTCCTGGCATGGAAAAATGGACTATATCCAGCTACTAATCAAAACTACGGGTTAAGAAAATCGTCTGCACTTTGTTCAGCTGTTTATAAGAAATGCACCTCATATGGTAATGAAACGTATAATAAAACAATTCCTGGTGTTTTAATAGAACAGCACATAGACCACACATACTCATATGGTTTTAGCAGATTTTCCACAGCTAACACCAACACATTATTCCAGTTGAAAAAAGGCACTGATTCTCAGGATGTAGTTGAAGCCAGAGAGCACAAGGATGGTCAACTCACAGTTGGCGCAAAAGGTACGAAATTATCAGCTGTGTTTATTTTCGTTAAGATGGATAACTGTTTTTGCACTGTAGCATTTTTTGGTTTCAACTGCTCAAATTTACCAATGAAGGTGTAGCCAGCCTAACAAGGGAGCGTTTTGCAGGACATGCGTGGATAGACCAATAGTTGCACTCCCAACACCAAGCCTCAAATCTGCAGTGTTCCACCAATTTTTAAGTTGGTGTGCAACCTTCTGCCTCATTATGAGACATGTAGAACTGTCACACTTTGCAGTCTAGGCTCCTCCTTTTACTATCCCAATAAAAGGCATGGCAAGGGTGTAGTCATGCCAAACTGTGTTGACATATAAAATTTGGCCAGTTCAAGACAGACTGGAAACTATGTCACACAGCTGCAATTTATTGCCTGTTTTTGATAACGTTTTACATTATTACCAAAATAAATTTCTAAATGTGAGTGATTTCCGGTGCACAGTTAACAGATTTTCAAAATAAACTTGCTGTGCAAGAAGCAAAGTTTCCAGTCAGGCACACAAGCTCAAATTTCAACCATGTTATAGAAAAGTTTCTGGTGAACACTATTACTGAAAACTATCACTTGTTTTTGCACATTGTGCTATCTGCATTTGACCTTGTTAGATACACTTAAATTGGGTTACCTCTTGAAATTTTGAAATATTTGAAACTCTCTGAGAATTTATTTATAACCTGAATGCTGTATTTATTTGATTATAATTCTGTGTTATAAGTCACCAATGATTAAACGCCACCCTAATTTATAATCCACAGCAAATGGGGTCCTTAAAGAAATGTGAGCCACCCTTGATTCTTAGCCGCACAAGCAAAACCATGCAGAGATACTTGGCTTGAAATGCAGATGCAAAAAACTGATAAAAGCCTTATTATGCACTAAAAAAATCTCCATATGTTGTGAATGAATACATTTTATGTATTCAGAAGATACCTGAGTTTCTATGTACATACAATTCTGATAAGTTTTACAAAGCTCAGAAGTTGTCAAGAAAATCTCATCTTACGTCACTATTTGTTTTTAGTGAAACAAGCTGGTAAAGATGCAAGCTACATGGGCATTGTTCTCGTTGGATTTGCAGTTACAGGTTACCTAATTAATAAATTTGTAAAATAAGTAACAGTTTGCCAAATCATTAATTTTTTCATTGTATCACATTTCATTATTTGTACACATCTTTGAATATATATTTCCCCTGCTTTTTTATAATTTGGTTTGCAGCTATAAAAATTTGTTAGGGGGCCCCACCATATTCTATATAAAAGCTGAATCACATTGTTTTTCACCAAAGATTCTTTATGATCAAGTTCATGTCATCATTTGCTGCCTTGGAGGTGTTCCTATTTGAGATCAGCTTCTTCCATAGCTCAGCTTATTAAGCCAATTGCCTTTATTATACACACTCTGTGCATTTTCCAAGAGATTAACTTTTGAAAATGATCTTGATCTTTAAGTGTGTTTTGATGCCTATCAGGAACATGATAATTATATGGAAGTATATATAAACAAAACAAAATGTGAGAAACAGTTCAGGTGTCCCCTGTGTGTAGTTACCTGTCCCAGAGATGAAGGCACAGACTGATGTGAAGAAGCCAATAGAACGGGAACTAGGTAGCATTCCTAAAGCTTGTTAGGGAGGAGGGGGTGTGGAGGCAGTAATCCTGGAGTGTACAGGTTTCTGCACTGTAAGAGCCTTATAGCTGTATTGATAGTTCTCTTAATCAGAAATCAAGTAAATACAATGCCCTTTAAAGAAAATGTGGTACTCTGTTAATATAATCCTGTTTTCATGCAAAAATTGCTTATTCACTGGAGAAAAGGAGAGAAATTACTGAATGAGCTCTTAAAGCAGAAGATAAACAGAGAATAAAAAAATTCCAAATCTAATCAGAAACAGATGTTAAGTAGATAAGACATTAGCTCTTCTTTCTTCTGTGTTTGTTGCAGCAACAGTTTTGCTTAGAAATGTTGCAGGTGGAAAAAAAGCTGGTACACATCAAATTTCTTCAGCTGAAAATAGAGTGATCATTTAAGCCTTGCAAAAATTGCAAATTAACCTCAATTTCATTTGGTCAAAATGTTGGCTTGTCAATTTGTCAGGCTACCATGTCAGAGTCTGTAATTGGCTATCAGATTATTTTCTTCTCTCTTTGACACCACCAAATGATCTTGTGTAGATCTCACCCTTTTAAATAAGAAAATCTTTGTATATGTTTTTGGAACTTGTGTGTTTTCTTAAAACAGCAAATACCTCGACTTTTATTGGACTGATTACTCACTTCAAGTGTCTGTATTCTTTTTGATGGATGTTTACACGAAATTGCCTTTGCAAAGTCAATTATAATGTATTTCTTATTAACACTAGTTTTAAGTATTGTGTTTTGGTTTCCAAGCATCCTTGCTATTGCTTTAGTTTTTTCAATGTAGTTCTTGCTATCTCTCTCAGGTGTTCTTGTTTTTCCTTTGCCCTGATATCAGGTTTTCTTTGTGGTTTTCATATGACCCATATTTTTTCATCCCAGGTGTTCTTATTTGGTATGTTCTCAGTGAGCTCCTCTTTAGCTTCAGCCCAAATTCTGTTTACTCAAAAGCTTTGAAAGTGGTCAAGCAAAATACATCAGTGAGTATTTTTAATTAAATCTCATTTTCCAGCCTTAAGGAAAGACAGGCCCATCTTTAAGGAAAGACAGGCACTTTAGTGTATAACAAATTAGCAAGATAATTTGTAGTTTGAATTTAGAGTTATTTTTTATCAGTTATGTTGTTATCAGTTATCATATCTAATGTTTCTTTAATTCTGATGGTCTGCACATCTTGTATACCTGAAAAATTGATATAAACGAGAGTCTTGCTCTTGAATTCTTAAAGAGTCCCACTATCTTTGATTAGCATAAAGTTTTTGAAAGACATAACATAAACATTTCGCATGTGCAATATAATTTTATAAGGTTATTTTACATTCAATAGTGGAAACGTTTACTCACTTTATTGTGATGCACACTTTCAAAAAAGGGTCAGAAAACTTAGCACCAAGCCTGTTATGATAGGTTTCGTAAGCGAAAAAGTGACCAAAAGGGGTCCATCTTTCAGCGTGATTTCCAGTTAACCTACCACGCGCCTAGACATCCTCAATTGAATAATGTTGTAGTTAACGATTATGGAGTGTGAATCTGCACATAGAATGTTTCTACAGAATCGACCCCAGCGTATAGATTAAATTGTAACTTCGATTATCTTGCTTATGTCTTGTATGTTTCCTTAAAAGTGATATGAAATATACTGACAGCAGTCAAACCAGGGTTTCCCTAGTATTTTGAATTTTTCTGGTGAAACCCTTAATTGTGGATAATAATTTGAAGGTATGGTTGGTATGTGAACATACTTTGAAAGCATGATTGGTATGTGATTGGTGTTGTAATGCAGTTTGGTTTGGCACGGTGTTTTGAGTTGTTTTGAGTTTCAACCAGTTATTTAGCATCTTTGCTTATCTAATATCAGGTTTTGCACGCCATTGGAGAGCCAGTAAAAGCATACGGCGAAGAGACTTCAAGGGGAAGGAGAAGACGTGTCAGGTAAAGTTTTCTTTATGTTTGATCATTGAAATGAAAAGTTATATTTTTTGCTTAAATTCTTCAAAATGTTCTTAGTTTGATATCACTAATATCGATTCTGTTATCCTTTTAAGCAACATCGTTAGTTGGTTTATGAGGGCCATCTTCTGAACGATCGATGCATTGAGATCTCTACGATGCCAAACTTTTCATAGATTTTAAAAAAAAGATAAGCAACATTTTTCTGTTGAGCAATGGTCTCAAGTATAGTCAATATTGTCTAAAATTTTCTGTTCAAGTATCATCAAGAATTTAAGGGTCAATCTGTACTTTTTAATTTTGCATAAACTAACAATATTTTGTTTTGAAAGGCCCTGAAGGCAGTTCTTTTTAGAGCCCTACATCTAGCCTCTGCTCTTTAATTGTAAAACATTTCGAAGCAAGCTGTTTTTTATTCTCTTTTATTAATTTTTCAGTCATTGATGATGGTTTTTTTTCAGCCATCAAGAATATATCGTAGATGGTGTTAATTACATGCGAGTGAAGTTTTACATCGCTGGAAGCAAACGAAAAGGAACGGTTCATGTAGACACTAAAGAAGTAAGATTTGATTGTTTTCTTTAATGTGTATTAAGATTACCATTAAGTTGTTCGTAGACTGTAACAGTCCGTCAATAATCGAGGGGTTTTTGCTGAATATAAAAGAGCGATACAGGCTATAGATTGCAGATGATTGGAAAAGGGCGAGGGGCACAGACTTATATATTAGATTTAGTGACAAGCCAAAGTCACTGTTGCAGAATTTTTGCTAATTGTTAAAAGGCTGCTCAATCATGTGCTTGGGTTTCTGATATGCCTTGACGTTCCAATCTATGTTCGGACGTTTTATACTCAAAAGAGTTTCGGACGGAAAGCTTCAGTATATTTTTAAATATATTTGCTTTTTCAATGTCATTTTTAATGTTGGTACCACAAAAAGATTGATAACCCAAGATTTTGTCGAAATTATTGAGTAGTCAACAAGGTCTTTTAAACCTAAAATCCGGAGGATATTTGTTTGCTACAGACAATTAACTGTTGCTTCCTTTCTGTAAAAGCAAAGGCTTGGCCATTAAGCTGAAGTCCCTTAAAAGAAGCTATCTTGGTAAACACTTTTGTGATTGTACCTCATACAACCCTTGTCCTCAATTCCCATTGAAGTACAAAAATACTCACTACCTGAGCCACCAACACAACATCAAGTTCTGGCACTTCTTGTTAAAAATTCTGGGATTCATTCTCAGCCCTGCAATCGGAAGTTTAACAACAGTTTGCCCAAGTACACCCCCCCCCTTAAAGCGGAATTATTTAAAAGGAAAGTTCAAATGCAATTTTGGAGCGGATTATCTTTTACTAGATGCTTCTATTCACGTTCAAGTGACAAACTCATCTTGATATCAATATCCACAAATGCGAAACTTAATATGCTAATTTCTAGCTGCCTCTCTTCGTTAGAGTATTGTAACAGTGCTGGCAAATTTCGCCTATGATCATAATTATACCTAATAACGTTTCCCGATTAGTGCTAAATACAGTTGATTGATGATAGCACGCTACATTTCTATCTTTCTAGATTTCAAGAGGAAGGTTTGAATTCAGATACATATTTGTTGAACTAGATGGCCATCCTCCAGAAACAATAATAGTAGAAGATCGCCGCTGAAAATAACGTTTATATCGTTTTCAATGGTCCTTTATATAAATCTGTCTTTTTTGTGATTAACTGTTTTTGCAACTTTTAATAACCCTCCTCTTTATCTGTTTTGTTATCGCTCTGGGTCCAGCTTAGTAAAATGATCAATTTTTTGAGATTCACAAAAGCCTCAAAGGCATGATATTTTCCAAGTATTACCTGTGGTGGATGTCGTTGGGGAATCTCGCTTACAACCATTCAAGCTTTGCCCTGCCTGGTATGATAAAAATCGGAATTCGATCTTATTTTTAATCTGAAATACGAAACTAAACTTGTGTTAATATTCTACTATAATCTGGAGAGCTCTTTTCAGGCTCGTTGCTTTGCAATTTTTAATATTTTTCCGTTTTCACGATATGCCGAAACCATTCCTAAAATTAGAAGTAAACTTTTAGTAACATCAGGATAACAATTTTCCTATCTACGGTGAATGATGTTTGATCAATAATGGAAAAGTTTCTTGCCAGAAAATCGAGTGGTTTTCGAAATACTAAGGTTGATTGGCACTTGGATTAAACTAGATGGTCTAGACTTGTGAATTTTGAGTATAAAAGACGCCTGGGCTACTGGTCCCATTCAGTATCCAACACGTGCTGGATTGACGAGAATGTGGTGGACCTGCTCAGAAAATACTATACTTTTCGATTGGAATTTGTTCAGAAAAAACAACTGTGGAGATAAACAACATTACTGATGATGTTGCTTAACCAAGAATAGGTAAGTATGTAAAGGCGATAAATTCAAATTTGCTCGAAAATGCCATAAAATCACGTCACATTTTGCTACGCTTGATATCATATAACAATGGATCCTATTGCCTATGGCAGCGAAGCACCATCCAATTTCCTTAGTTTATCAATATTTCGTCTAGTTTATCGATCGAAATTTTATCTTGATGTGGGCAGCTCAACTAAACAACCAGTGATCAGTAATATGATTCTGTTTGTATTCTTTCTGACAGCAAACTCGTTTGAAAGTATTTGGTAAAAGCGTAAATAAGGCTAGATAGCCTTGATAAGAGCTTTGTATATACTGCTTCAACCTACATGATGAGGATAACGTCTTACAGAACAGAAGCTTAACCGTACTCTGTACTACAGTCTTTTAAAGGCTCAATGGAAAATGAATAGCAGGGCATCTTCCAAGCTGTATTCTGTAAATCTGGGGTATGGTAGGTCAGGACAGCTTCGTGCCAGTATTGTTGATACTGCCTTTAGTTGTATTCTCAAACTTAACAGTGCAAACAACCTTGCGTGTAAAAAAAGTGTACGTTGCAAAGCATTCCTAGTCATGTGTACAATATTACATTTTCCATAAATTTGCAACCAGTTCTCTACATCAACCTTGCAGATCTTATAAGTCTGATAAAGGAAAGCAGGAAATTCTTGTAAATCTAAGAAATGTATATAAGTAGCTAACATCTACTAAAGGTCGCTCAAAGATTTTTTGGTAGGAAAGATTCTATAGCACTGACTACAGCACATTCTGATAACTTATGGGAGAATTTGGGGGGGGGGTGCATTACGGAAATGTATAGAAATGAAATGCTTGTTTGTTTGGGCGTTTAGCATGCTTAGCACCGCAAAACATTTTGCTTCAATACGTAATATCCCCAGAGGTCCTTGAATGTGGTAGATAAGACACGAGACTTATCTATGTCAAAGACCAGAAGCATAAAGTTTCATACATTACTATTTTTTACGATTTTTACGACGTTGAAAAGGGAAATAGATGAATGTAAGAGACGAAAGGATCGATTCTGAGTCAGAGAAATTTTCGATATCAGAAAGGATTTTAGTGTTTCAACACTCACGCAGAAATTGCAGCTAAGCGACCCTAAACATTGTCTTGTTATTGCCCCCATTTTCTTCAACGTGATTCGTTGTTCCTTAGTCGATTGTTGATGGGGTATTTGGATCGCCAAGGATCGTTTACGATCGCTGGGGATCACTAGAAACTCGACACGCGGTTTTTATATGATCGTTTGTGGTCGTTGAAAAACTGCAGATATCCTCAGCGATCATATGGAAACCAAGCTACAGAGTCCTTTGATCACGTATTACGTCATAAGCAAATTTCATGTGATTCGAAATTAATCTGGTTGAATCTCGTACGACTCACAATGGGTATTAAGAAAACTTTTAACAAAACTGAAACCAATGTTGGAGATATCGACTCAACTGCAAATTCAAAGGCTGTTCTATGATAGGTTGTATAAAGAACAACAAATTTAGCGTAATTGTCAACCATAAAAAATTTAAAACTCAGTATAGGGAAGATAAATGGCAATAGACGAACTAAATTATGTAGGCGTGAAGTAGACGATCGCTTGCTGCAAAGCGGAACAAGAAAGTTTCTTAGAAAAAACCCCTAGAGGTGGCAATCTTGATTAAGGTGGAGCTGCATCTTTGATGACGGCAAATGCGGTTGCATATTATATGATGTAGAGACTAAAGATTTGCGAGACGGTGTTTTTTGAGGAACTATACTCATAAACCTATTGAGGGCATGAGCTTCTATTTTCAATCTTGTAAACAAGTTTGATTTCACTGTTAACAGCAGTCAAAAGGACTCATTGTATAAGGTAAATATTTATTGCCTTTGTTTAGGCCTAAATCGAAATATCCTCTTGGTGCCTTTATCTGTTCATTTATATTTTTCAAACATAGTTTCCAGAAATTTTCAAATGGCTAAAACCCATTTTAGCCAACAGCTACTCGTGAGATTCCCCTGTATTCTGAAATAAGTAAAGTTGGTCCAGTTGGTCAGTCCGTCCTTTCCTCTCAAAGGGCAGTTGTGATGGGAAGTCATGACAGAGATAAGTGATTTTCAGGCTTTGGTCTCTTTATATTAAATTGTATTTATTCTTCTTTTGCAGAGAGAGTCAAGTAATCAATATGCTGAAAGCAGAAATGAAAAACATTCAGTCACTGGGGAAACAAACTGATCAACTTAAAAGTAAGTGGTACTCATTTAGGTCAACCACCAAACAAGACTTCAGTTCCATGTTTGCAGTCAATCGACCCACCCCCACCCCCACCAAGTCTTTTGTAACTGACAAAAGGTTTTTCTCATCCCAGAAATGTTTTTTAATTTTTACGATTGGTATGTAAATGAATTAGCCAATACTTAACACATAACTTTGGAGGTTCAATAAATGTATTTTCTGAAAAATGGCACCATTATATTTGCCAATTCATAGTGTTTGTCACTGTTTGTATATTATAAATCTCTTCACAGATTTTTGCATTGATTACAATGGAGAGACTAATCACTTTGAGAAAGAATGTGAAAAATTTATGAGACGCTTTGTGGCTGATGTGTTTTCAGAAAGGTAAATGTAGACTCCATCCTTTTCAGTGTTTTTAAAATGTTTTTAGGAGTACATGTTTTAAAACACAGAGTTTATCTAATACATTTTGTATACAAGTGAAGGATTGCAGAGTTTAGATTGTTAAGTGAAGGCACATATAGAGTTGATATTGTGGTAGAAATTTTATATATTTACCACTTAGTGATATTTTACTTTTTTCATTAATGCCTTAAAATAAATTGGCCATTAATATTCCAGCGTTACAATAACTCAAGAAGCAAAATCAAAATTTGGCTTGCTATGTCAGGTATGCATGCTAAGAAATTTATGATTTTCAGCGTTCTATCATATTTTATTACAGGCCTTCCTAGGCAAGGCAAGTGATCAAAATTTGGGTCTTAAATAGAAGAAAAAGAAGGAAGCCAAGATTTTGGATCAAAAATTGTTTGAATAAGCGAAACACACATAGAATTTTTCACACTTTAGTGCAGGAGCTTCGATTTCATGACATTTAGTGCAGGCGTTTTTTCAGTTGCCATGTTTTCATGCCATGTTTCCTTCGTTGAAAGTCACCATTTTAAAAAGAATGTTAATTCTACTGCTGCAACAACATCGTGTGACTCTTTTGTTCTAGGTGTTTCAAATAACCCCAGAGTGTCACAGAGTGTTGCAGAGATAGAAATCTTTTGCAGTATTTTAGTACTGCAGTTTCCATTCGTCGCAAAGTGTTGCAGAACCAAACTTCTGTGACATTCTGCGACACTCTTTGACACTTGGCAACACTTGACAATTTAATGGAAACCATGCTTAAGGCGACAGAATGACTTTGAATCAAGTTATTTACTATGTTAAATCTGCAGTGCTTCCACTTTTTACTGGATTAGGTTTTTGAAAATATCCTTCTATTTGCTTAAAATTCCTTCAAAAATGGATGAAAGTTCTTCTAATCTTTCTATTACTAGACATATATGGATTAATTGCCTTCACTTTTTATTTTCGCTTTCAACTTACTCAAGAAATTGTTCCTGGTGTTGCCTTGAACACACAAGCTTCATTAACTTATTTTCTTTTGTCTAGTTTTAAATATTTCCTTGTTTAGTTTCGAAACTTTCCCTTCTTTAGTTTTGATACTTTTCGAAACTTTCGATGCATTTAGAATTGGAGAGTAGTGACAATGAAGTTATTAAGTGTGGACGCCATAAAAATATATTTTAAGAACTTTTAATTTTGTACCACATTACTGAATAGAAGAACACAAATTATCTCTAAATATGCAATATCAGTTAGATATGATACAAATTGGATGAGCAATGGCCAATAAATGATATTAAGTTTACATATTGCTGCTATTCTGGCATGGTTTATCAAATTTAGAACAGATACAAAAATAGTGTGATTTGACAGGGCAGAGCCTGTGCTCAAATTGCCACATCTTAACCAGTTTCTAACACATAAATATATTATGTGAACCAATTTGAAAATTGTAAAAACAGCTTTGTGCACCGTTAGAACATTGAATTTGCCAAGTCAGTTATTAGCCACAGTTTGCATAAACCTTGAAATAATTCCAATGTGACCGGCCTGCTTACTGACTGGCAACACCATTTTCTAATTTATAATCAGATATGTCATCTCAATTTCTTAGAGAATCTTTATTTTTTCTTTCTAATTTGTAATTCCTTCCCTTTTCATTCCAATTGACAAAAATCCCGGCAGAAAAGGATAACTCCTTACAAGCGGAAGCACTTTTTAATTGAGGACTGTAAAGTTCTTCACTATATCCTCTCTTCATAGAGGCTCGCCAGGCAGAGCGCATCTTTTTACCTTCTGATAAGAGATAGAATGAATTCTTTATGGCTGTTTCTATGTTGATGATGAAGTATTGAAAAAGCTTTTTCAATGCAATGACAACTGCCCAGCACAAAGTGTGCCCATCATAATCTTTGGTCCCATTTGCCACAGGCTTAACAAGGGTTATCACAGTCAAAGAGACCCTACTTCAACTTAGAACACAGCTTGATAAGTTCTCAATTTTTTTTATTCAAACACTTCTCTAAAGATATGATTAACAACATGACATGATCAACTGATCAACTACCAGACACATCTTTCTAATAGAAATAAATGAAAGCTAAAAACCTGACACACACTACTTTCAATATTTCTTCTGCCTTACATTGCTTTAGTCAAAACCACATATATTTTTTGTCAAAGTTGTGGGAGAACTGATGAAATGAGTTAAGAAATGAGGTTTAATGGCTCCATAACAATGCAACTGAACTTTTGTAGAAATCAGGCAAAACATCAAAAGCACTCCATCACACTATTACCACAGTCTAGGAGTGCAAAATGACACACTTGTGCTAATTTATTCCTAGGAAGGCCTGTATTATGAAAAATCTTTTAGCAAAGTAGTAGTTTAGCAAAATGTCTTTTTCTATAGAATTTTATTTTTATACATTAAATACTTCAATATGCTCTGACTTTTTGAAACTTTGTTTCACAGCACAATGAAGGCAGATGTTGGTTTGCAAGGCTCATGGATGCCCAGGTGTTTTTCTTTGTCTATAAAACATTTCAAAAGCACACTTTCTTTCATATAATGTTTATGTACAAACTAAAGTGAATCACCTGAATTACCACCGTTGCTTGCAAAGAGTTTTCTTAAATCAGAGGGCTTTGAACTTTGATTAATTATTTCTTAAATTAGATTTGCTTTTCTTGCATGTATAAAAATAGCAGTTTTATAAATCGTAATTTTTTTGTACTTTGGTTTCATGTAGACATCACTTCCTTTTTTTTATTAGATAAAAAATAGTTTTTTCTGGCCAATTGAGGAAATATCACGTCATTTGATTTTTATGTTTCATTAATCTCAAAGAAATTTCTTTCTTTTATTGCTTTAAACTCAAAATAAAGCCATGTGGAGAATCAATGTCTATCACATTTAATGAAATCTCCTGCAGGCATGGATTTGAAGATTTTATTTTCACCTGTCTTCTAAACAAATTTCCAAAATGAATTTTTCGATAGTTCATAAGTTACTTTGATTCAAAGTGCAGGTGAGAATAAATCATTTATAAAGAAGAAAATATAAACGCAAAGATGGTCTCATTAAAAGGAACATAATGAAAACCAAAATGTCCTGATGCTTTGTACCTAAACATAAAGTTCTTCAATTGCAATATCCATATTGTTATAGTTCCTTTTTTTGTATCATTTGCAGCGTGTGGAGATTAAGGAAGTAGAAGAAGTGATATTATTCCGCTTAGTGCAGTACTATGCAATTGTCTTATTTGAGTATGTATTTCATTTATAGAATATATCAGTATTCGTATATGAACACAGTCATTCACATTATTAGCTTTATTTTCTAAGAAAGCCAAGTATTTACTATGGCAGCCTTTATTAATTACCATTATACAAATTTCACACAATCAGAGCTTGCTTTCTGCTGCAACATTTTAATACATGACTTAGTAACCATACAATCAAATGTCATCCACTGTAAGTTTCAAAATGATTGTGATAAGTTCGATATCTCAAATTCTTTCATTAGTTCTGTAGAAAGCATACTTTAATTAAATACCATTTTTCTTCAATGAACGGAACATTGATAAAATGATGAATTAGAGAACCTGTAAATTTGCTATCCTTGACCTTTGTGCAGATTGGCTATCCAGTTTATTTACTGGCTCACTCAAGTAAAAGCACAACAGAGCAGGGGGCCTCAGGGAGCTAAAGCTCTACTTTTGGCCATGAATTTGAAAAACTTAGAAATGGACTACCAGTCAAGCCCCTTCCTATTTGGTTTTAGCCTCCCTCCCACTTTTCTCAACACTCTGTTGCCCGCGTAAATAAGTTGACTCTGCATTGAAATTTATATCTCTATAACTCATTTGTTGAAAAGAAAGTCATGTTTTCTTAGTAGTAAGTTTCTTTTCCTTTCTTTTCAGATGTTACATTGCAGATGATTTTGCACCAGCAGCAAGTTTGCTGAATATGTCTTTCACATATTATCATGTGTCTTCATTTTCAGAACGTAAGTGTTATTCTTCATTGATGAGTATTCACTCATTAATTAGTTATGGGTCATGGATTTGATTCACTGTAACTGATGTAAAGTTAAAGCAACAAACCATTTTCATTCATGTAATATTCGACAATGTTCTCATTTTATCCTAACATTATTCAAACCAAGAGAAAAGTTGCACAACTTACTTTCTAAATTAATTTTTTTGGATTTCTAATGTATTCTATGTATTCTCATGTATTCTCATGTATTCTAGAAATTCTTTAGGAATGAAATTATATATCAGCACGAACCTCAAATGGTTAGCCAATGAAAGCCGAGGGAGAAAATCAAATACCTTGGGACTTGTGATTGATTAATTTAAGTTAATCTATTCAAAAACTAAGCTGACAAATTTCTCATTTTTGTACAGTTCCTCATGATTCACCCAAGAAATCTGATACTCCGTCGAAGTTATATGTCTTTGAATACTTAAAGGATCAAGCTATTTGGTAAATTACTTTTCCATTTTACTTTTGCAACTTTATTTTGATGTTTTGATTCTCTTTGAAAGTATTATTGTATATTGTTCCACTGAAACGCAGCCGTTTTGGAAAAAATTTCAATTGTCAACCATGCAAATTTTGATTTGAAATAATAGCTTATGTTTTATTTTTTATAGAAGACAACATGCAAACATCGAGTTGAGAAATTTTTTGGCACCCAATCTACAACAATATAAATCATGTTTTGCTGATTTTGCCCAAATATCTTTATCCTCCTTCCTTTCTTCATTAATAGGAAAACCATGCGATTCTGGACATCAGCATTTTTATTCGCAGTCGATAGTGAGAGGCAAAAGAGACCTAAATTTGGGTAGATGTTAGCTATTCTCTTTATATTTTTCCGTCACTTTACATTTCGTTTGTTTACTCAAATCAGCGAGTGTTAAATTGGTTTCAATGGTCATTTAACTTCACTGTCTGAAACAAATAATTTTGTATGAAAATAATAAAAATGTTATACGCAATAGAAAACTTTGTCACAACAACTTTCATAATGATTACCTCCAGACTCGATGGTTTCTCATGAGCCTTAATCAAAAGAAACGTTTCGTCGCAAACTTTTCGAGAACCACTTATTTTTCTGATCTCTTGGATATCGACATTTTTCAATAAACTTTGAACCTTTTAAAGCCCTGTGTATGCTCCCCTAAACAATGTCTCATTCACTTTAAAGTGCTTTATGTTCCATATACCTGCGTTTCGCACTACGTTTCTTGTTTAAGTCGACTAGAAATTTATTTGTTATGTAGCCATCTATATTACACCTTGAGGTTTGCAGTATTTGTTAGAAATGCTTTAAAAAAGCAAACATTTGAGTATACTGAAGCTTTTCGTTCGACACTCTTCCGAGTATAGAACGTCAGAACATAGGTCGAAAACTCTACGCTGCGAAATAGGCCAATCAAAAACGCGAGCACGAATCAGTGCCCCTTGCCTATTGAGAATGTTACCAATGGAGTCCTGAGGTGAAAGCGAACTCCTTTTGTCTACACAAAAGCGGTTTTTTTGTGTTTATGTAGATAGATTCCAAAACTGCTAGATGGAACGAAGATCAGGCTTTGCCATTAATCCAAAACATGTCGCCATTATAGTTTCATGTTTGTTTGCTTATATGTTTGCTTTTTTCAAAGCAATTTTTTGTACCACCAAATGAGTCAGGGGAAAAGGTAGATAAGACTCTTTGTAATTGGAGAGATGCTTTATTTACAACATAACTCATAATTCCAGGTCTTGGCGGTCTTTGAATGAAGAACAGCAACGAGAACTGAATCAAAACGAAGAATATTCGGCCTTTGCTCATCTCGGGTAAACAATCTTTGCTTGACTATTTTGGATGTGAGAAAAACTTCATTCACATAATGTCTAGACCCAAATACGCAAAACTTTTCAATTCATGCTCTGTTTACAGTCACACTCGGCTTATTTTCAAAGATTTTCAAGCTACATTTGGTGTGACTATAACCGACCGTTTTTTTATTAATCTTATATCCTATACCCCAGTTATCATCTACCACATAGTAAAAAACCAATTTATATAATATGTTGAATTTTTATCTCCTGGATGCAATGTTGATTGGATTGGAGATATTTCCTAGTTTTTCCTCTAGAATCTAACTTTAATACCGGGCCTTCTCTGTATTATGGCAAAAATGTAGTGTAATGTAGTGCTCGATTCCTTGTTGGCAGGGCTGTACATGCTTTGTTGTATATAACAGGACGGCTCTAAGTTGCAACTCAGAGTTTAACATTTAATGCGATTATCGGACAGCTCTCATTGCGAAGCTAATTAATTGCATCGTTTAGTATGAAACAAATATGATAGAACTTAAATCCCTGTATCAGTGTGAACGCAGCCTTTATAAAGCATCAAATGCTACAGTAACAACAAAGATGCTTCATAGTTTTGTTTATACAGTCTTTGCCAGTTCGGTCATTGTAATCGAGTCAGTCGTGTTAATGCAAGATGTTTTTTATTTCACAGGACATTCCTTTATATCATGAAGTCGTTGAATGTAGCCAAAGAGATGAAAGAGGTTTTTATATCAAAGATAAGCACCATCGAGAACTTAAGTCAAGGTATGCCTCAATAGACGTATAGAGCCACTTCTGCGAGCTGCGAGTGTAGATACTTTCGTTAAAGTTTTTGTCGATATTCAGATGTTTAGATGAAGAACCCTCTACATTTTAATCGAGGTAGTGCATTCTAACTGTAAAATTAAATGGTCTTACCGACTTTTTCAAGTGTGTCGTGATTTTTTCATTTTTCAATTCGTCAAGTTACTTTGGAATTGGCAGGTGTTAGGAAATTTCCCTGCATTTATTGGAAATACATTTCTTTAAAAGCTCTAAAATATATTGTAGAAGTTGAATATTTCTCGAAAATTTATTATCTCAAGCTTTCGTTCCTAAGATGGAAAATATCCGAAATGTCTTTTTCAGAATTTAATGTGCTGATCTTTTTCCAACAGAGCAACTGCACGAGCTGATTGAGCGCGTTGAAAAAGCCGAATAACGAAGAAAATGCCTTCAATGCCAAATCAGATAAGATTGTCCATTTTATAGTCTAAATCGTATTTTTGTAATTATTGATGCCATATGCAAGACTGAAGGTTGGCCCTCGCTATATGGTTCCATAATGGTGATAGATATTCAGGTAATCAATTTGTAAAATGAACTTTTCTTTTCGCAAAATGTATTAAATTCAGCGAAACATTCGTGCATTGTAAGTATAATATTAGCTCCTCAACGTATTGAATTGCAATGAAACTCAATAGCTCTTGCTATTTTGAATAGTATTTCAAATGTTAGAAAATATTTATGAATTTTTTAAGGGTTCATTATTGCCTTGTGATGGCAGTATTGCAGGTAAGTGTGTGAGACTGTATAAGGCAATGCAAAAGGGTTTATTATGTAATGCTTTTGAAGAGGGATTTTGTGTAGTGTAATGATGAAATCTACTGGTACATATCGTTAAAAAATTATTTGTATATCTTTATTAATATTGTTGTATTTCCTTCATATACTTGATATGTTGAAAAATACGTAAATATTTTAATTTAATCACGTTTTGATGTAAGGTAAAATGTAAATTTAGAGCTAATGAAATTTAGCAATAACTTCATTTTTTCTGATGTAGCATCCCGAATCCGTAACGAATATTCCTGTACTAGTTTCCATAAAAATGAATGCATCCTTAAGAGTCAGGGATTAATATTTTTTCCAATATTTCCTGACATTTTATTAAGCAGCCGAAATTTTCGACCTAGAGCTAGTTTTACCACCATCTGAAAGTTCAAACGAGCCAATATTTTTTGCAAAATAAATGTTTGATGAATGCTGGGTGACGTGCTGAGTCGATCAAAAAGGGCATAAGCCGAGGAATTGAGACAAAATTGCGAAGATCGCTCGCTAGCAAAGTATCTCGGCCTGTCGTGTATTCTCTTTTGTTCTGTCGCATATACTGATTATGTGTTCCCGCAAAATCATAGGATATGTTTTGTTGTTGTTCTTAAAACTTGCACTGTACTGCTAGAGCCATTAGTTAAAGCCTTATTCTGGCGTACTTACAACTTCTAGTCTCAGAACGTCTTTCGATAGCCTCTGAATCAGCAAGCTCTGTATTGCTATTAAAAAACAGCTGCCAATATTAGAGACAGTGTTTTGTCAGTAATTTCTTCATAGGTTCGACTGATGCGTCATTTTTGTGTGGAGTAATCCTAATTATTTTACACATGATAGGATACAGATCGATTGTCTCCATCTTTTCAATAGCTTTCCTTTTTCTAAAGCAAGGACCAAACGCGAAAAAACCCGGATTCATATCCCTATGAAAAACATCATAGCCATGTTCTCCTTTGTAAAACTCATTTCCTTCAAAATAAACTCCCGTCTCAAAGCCTGTGTCTATAATCCAACCAGGATCAGCAAGAAGGAGCAAAGGGGCAGTGAGCTCGCTGTTTTTGATATGCATGTAAGTAGGCAATTCCCATTTACGGTATACCGTCATGTTCGGGTGGGCGTGCACAAGCTGATTGTAAACAGTCTGCAACTGACCAGGCTTCGGATAAATTGATACAAATGTTTTTCCTAATGCCGTTTTAATATACTGCTTAATATCAAAATAATCTTTTAATCGGATGATTTTGTTATGATTTACATCTTTTCCTCCATGATCCCCTGCAACGAGAAGATGACAAGCAACTAAATGTATCATTTTTATAGAACCACGCCCAAGTCAGAAACACGCCCTTCAGAAATAGATTGACGAAATTGGATCTACGACCAATTCAACGTTTTTTATACATTGTTCATTTTGGTTTCAACTATACTTTTCTCCAAACAATGATTTGCACAAACAATCCAATAACACTACCAAATTAGTACTCTAGAGGTGGAAAAGCAGAAAGAATTTATACCCGCACTAAGTTGAAAAAGGGGAAAAAAATTTTACCCACATTCTAAAGAGTTTTTGTTCTTAATTTATGAAGCATATTAAAGATGGGCAAGATAGATGATGTCTAAAAGATGACCAAATAGGTCTCAGGACAGATGTGGATTGGAATTGGTCAGTAACACCGGTGGCTTGTTGTATTAGCCTGATTTTTAAAGCGGTACTTTGAAATTCACGCAATTACTTGAAGAAATTCTAATTTTGTAAATGTCAAAAATGTCAGTGGTCTATATTTCATAGAAAAAGCAAATCGTCAACGTTTGCCACTGAAGTTAGACTTTATATACTTCTCAATTAAAATTTGAGCTATATCTCTATGTTAATGGACACCAAGCTGTTCCTTTTATCTTTGACTGTAAACTACTGCCTGTGTATTACCATACCGTAAGATGCATCAAACAAGTGATTACACACAAGTAACATTGTTCTTACCAACAACAATCACGTTGACTTTTTTTTCTAGAGATAGACTCTTTAGCTTCTTTTTCAGATATGCAAAGGTATTATCTATATCTGCGAATTTGTTATCACTGATTTCTGTTCCCGAGTCGTGAAGCTGTGAATCGAGATCCTCAAAATATATGGCTGCAAATGTGACAGCTGGCTTGCTAAGCCAGTTTAATACCAGGTCAATCCTTTCTGTTGGGGGCATATGTTTCGATTGAAAGTCTGTTAATGGATTAGCATATTTGTCCATTTTTGGCGCATATGTTGGCAATGCTCCTTTTATTTTTACGTTGAACCCAGGCCAGTAGCAAAGCCCACTTTCGTGTCCATTCAACTGGTTTGTTATCCATATTGGCTCAGCTTTGTTCCACCACTTAGAATTCGTGGATTTCATGCTAAATTTTTCATTTGTCTTTATATCATACATTTGGTTGTCAATGATTCCATGATTTTCCGGATAAAGTCCAGTCACAACGCTGTAATGGTTTGAGAACGTATTTGTTGGGAAAACGTTTAGAAGGTATTTAGCTGTGACACCTTGTTGTTCCATTTGAATCATATTGGGTATCTTATTCTTATTTTTTGACATAAAATCCCATCGGAATCCGTCCAAGCTTATAAGCAAGACCTTTTGGCCTGAGACCTGTTTACTGCGTTTGTGCTCGCTATATCCGGCCCTTACATAGCTGAGAATATAAAGCACCCAGATTATGTTCATATTTCCTTCCAATTCTTCTAACTTGCACGTCAAAACGATGCACGCCTTTATTTAAGTTGTACCATGCCAATTGTCGTCTACCTATAATACATGTTCTTTCATAACTTGAAGTTCAGGATATTGCTTATAAGAAATTTTTTGTGTCCGCCCATGCGTATAACTCGCGGTTAAAGCTTATATGAATTAACCGCTAAACACCTGTTTTGCATACTAATGAGAGAATACTAAGTCGGTTGAAGTATCTGGCCGTTTAGGCCTTATTCGGAAATACTGATAATCGAATATGAAATGCACTTGTCTCAAGGTGCAGTAACATTTACAGTTTGCAAAATTGATGTCCAATGGCTAATCCAAACTGATCTTCCGCGTAGATTTCACCTTTTCCGAACAACTTCCCTCATTTTTGTAGTCGTTTCTGTTCTACACTTAATGTTATGGCTGATGAATCTTAAATGTTTCAAAGACTTTCACCTAGACACCCTGTTTTATGTACTTTCTAACAGACTTACAATAATGTGAGTAATTATTGATTTACGTACAGCAGTTGGGCCCGGTTTGGGCCATCCGTGAACCACGATACGGTAAATTTCCGCATACAGTTCCCCGAATAAATTACCTCTTGAAAAAAAGCGCCCATTCCTGGAATGTAATCTTGCTTCTGAAGATAAGGTCCACAGAAGATCTATGTCATATTTATTTAGATCAGATTGATCTTGTAACACACAATAGCGCCGCAGTGATAGCGCATTGTTACAATTTTGTGTTCGAATGAACAAAACTTAGCTCGGGCTGGTAAAAATAGCTGCCAGATAGTAAATTGCTTAAGCAAATATGAAAATTTTTTACTTTTTCTCGTAATGAGGAGATAAGCTTTGAAAGTAGTTATTTCCAACAAAAAGAGACCTTTTGATACGAAGCAAAGAAATATTTTGCTCAACCGGTAGACCATCTAGAGAAAATTGACTCAAAAAACCATACCTTGGTGGAAACCTTCGATCAAAGGGTCATGCTTTTGGGTGTTCCATTGCCTTAGAGAACTGCACTGCAAAACCTCCAAGGTAAGATTTTGTTTCTGATTTTATTGGATTCAGAATCAGACAGATTTTATATATATCTTGCCAAAGTGATACTATGCCAAAGTGACTTTCGTGTACGGTCATGGCTTCATTGCTGGGGTTGAAGATCCTGCTAAAAGCCATCAGTCTTTAATCGGGTTAAACTTTAGAGTGATTAAAGATTGTCGTTGGCGGTTTTCTAAGCGAGTTAGGCATCAATATTCAACAGACGAGCAAGGGAAAAAAGTTTCAATTGACCATACACTCTTAAAATTGTTCTCTATGCCAGGATGCTGTCAGTCTACATTAGGCCTGTATCGCAGCTACGCGTAACAACCAGAATCGCAAATTACCACGAGGAAAAATCACTCCGTGGAAATCGGATGCACCTTGGTTGAAAATCCCATTGTTTTGTTTTTGAAAGCCCCTGGAAATCCGTTTGTTTTCTTGGAAATCTCGCACTTCAAATTCTGATGATAATGCCCCTTCTCCTTTATCTATTTTTATTTGTTTGAAACAACTGCTTTGCTGCAAATTGCATAGGAGCAAGAATCTTTGTGAACACGGTATCCAGATTGAAATTGAAATAACCTAAATTTTGTGCTTTAAAGGACCCTGAGTCCCACATACAGCTAATAACCTGATAAATTTTTTATACTGGGCAGGACTATTTGGAATTGTTGCACAAAATTGTTGCTTATGTCTTTTTCTAAATAAACTCCTCATGTCAAGAAGCAAAGGTCTTATGCCAATGGCAAGTTCTTACAATTTGTTTAAAGGAAACATCAATTTGGTTACTAGTTTTTTGCAAAGTATGTCCATTAGGTAGTCTAAAGGAACCCAATGGTTGTTATTTGTAATAAAAGGGAAACCCCAGTTGATTGCCAATTGCACCAAGTACAAAGTAGGTATTTGGCACAATTTCAGAAACATATTTTGCTGTATCAATGAAAAAAAACAAATTAACTTAGAAAGTTACCATTGGGTGCATGTCCACAACTGTCAGGATATATAGATCAAAGTATTTATAATTAATTTGATTTCCAACAGCAGTGTATATTTTGATTTTGTTGATTCAATGCATTCTTTTCCGATGATGATTTGATAAAACATTGATCATTCATCACTGCATAACATCCTTTTATAACTACAGCATGGACTGCACCATAACTACAGTTTGTGCAAGTAGTGTATTTTCAATAATACTCTACCACATTTCCTTTAGAACTATTTGCTGAATGGGGAGTAACACTACGGGCAGCACCCCTCCCCCTAATATAAATTTGTTCACCAACACTGTAACTCCAGTTCAAAGTATGAAAGACAGAAGGCTTCATTCTAATGCAGAAAGATAGAAGAGGAAGTCTGTCACTCTCTCTGTTATTTAGAAAGGCTGCATGCTTCAAGTAAGCAATTTTTATAAGTTCAGCAGTCAAAAGATAGTGCTTAAAATGCTATAGGTTACCTCATAAGAACCAATAAATTATGTTTCTATTACTTGAATTTTCCTTCACTTTCCCTAATAAATCAAGAACATATGGCATTCACTGAAGTTATCTGATTGACCATTTCTCATTTTTGCAGATGTATGTGCATGATTTAAAGGGAATGTTTGCTTAGCTGTGAATACCTTAAAGTGCCCTTAAGTTTCCCATTTTGATAACTGAAGTAATCTTTCACTGTTCTGTTCAGTGACATGCAAGTTAAAGAAAAGTTTTTAATTCGTAATTCAGACATTTTTGAATAAAAAAATAACATTTGGTTGATCCAACCCCACCAAAAACTTTTTTATTCTAAGGGGTCATTATTTAAGACAGGCAAAGGGATTTCTTATGATGAACAAGTCATATTTTCAGAATTCTGGTAATCTCAATGTTACAGTACCACTTCCATTTTTGGAAGTGACAAATAACATCAAAAATATGACTCAAATTAGACCAGTCTATGATATGTTCAAATGAGTAAGGGTTTTTCAGTAAACAGCATCAGTTCTGCCCCTGCCTTTTTCCTTGCCAGATGTTTTAAATCATCATATTTCAAACAACCAAGAACACTATGCAAATTTGAAATTATTTCAGAGTTTAGATAATAAACTAAACTTGCTAATTTGTGCGTCAGCGACAGAAATAAGGGGGAGGGATAAATCTAGAAATGAAGAGTGTGAATACTTTGCCTTTCTTTACAATCAAAGACTTACGGGTGTGGGGGTAAATCTGGATAACTCTGCTGCAAGCAGGGGGTATTACAGGGCCTCTGACGAAGGGGGCCATGGGGGGGTGCCATACCCCCACTAATTAGCGAGACAATATAACTTTTTTAAAAAATTTTGTTATGATTGTTAAAATCTCCCTTGCCCCCCCCAAACTTTCCAACCAGCGTCGGAGCCCATGCGTTATCTAGTTTCCTACGGATTTGTTGGTCGTAATTGAGCTTAGAGGCTTAGATAACCGAAAATATTAATATTAAAGCTTTGGTTGACATTGAAGCTCTGCTCAATGATGCAATTTCATTTATGTTGTTAGGCCCAGACGAAAAATATTTTTCCGTTCAAGATTGTGTATAGCCAACATAGTTCCCAAATTTACAGTGATAATACCCGATGTCCTTTTTATTCGATTCACAGTCCTCACTATAACAAGATATCTTGATAGATAAACATAACGGAACAATTCTGCACCCGGAACCCCGCCATGATAATTCCTTCGGTTCATAATAAATCCAGCTACAAACACAAGACTAATTTCCTGTGTGCTGTAGCCTAATTTTGCTTAGATTTCCACTCCATCTAGGCCCTTTACAAGAAAGGTACTTTATAAACAACAACAGAACGATAAAACATCATGCAACTCCAGTTTCATCCAAGCGAGTGAAGCTGCGAGAGCGAGATATGAAACCAGTATTTCGCGGCAAAATGGAAGCAACTGCGCATGCTCTATTAATACACTTTTCTCTGATTGGATTTAAACTTTGAGCGACAAACAAAAGGAAAGACAATAGCCGTTTCAGCTCGTATCCCCAACAATTATAGAGATAAAATTATGAATTTAGAGTAAATCTTTAAAGCATTTGATTGCTGCTCGACCTAGATTTTATTTTCTTGTAGTGACTATGAGGAGACAATCCCGTCTAACGATGAAGGAGTTTGCCTTTAAGTGATGGCGAAGTACCGTACAGTACCCAACTATCCGAGGGTGAATATTGTGGTGGATTTATGTCATCGCAGCAGCATTATCAGTTAGTTGTTGCTTTTTTTAAATCCTGATATCGCAATATTTTGGACAGGTCATTTGTAGAACATCGTGCACTAGCGATTAACCACATTCGTTCATTTTCGTCCAAGATGTTTTTGAACTGCTGGCACTAAACAGGTTAAAAAAAGCATTCTAATGACACCCAAGATTAAAAACCGCGTTGCTCCAAAATTTGCGATTTTTATGGACACCTTTTGCGCTCCTCTTTGCTTTATTCATGCCATCACTGATTTTTTTCAATAGTATCATCCAACCTGAAGAGTGAACTGATGAAACAACAGTTTTATTTCAGAGACCTATTCATCAAACTCATTGAGTTATCTTAGTTCTCCTGCATGAGCAATAGCAATACTAGGCTTTTTGTCCCTCTTTTTATCGAAGAAACAAAGCCATCGTCACAGTCAATTTCTCTATCAATAGAGACTAATTCATTTCGTCATGTGTGATTTTCTCTGTAAATAGCTCGTGTGATACATTTTTCATCAACCTTTTTCTTCGAATTCGTATTATTTCTACAAAACATTTCACAGCAAAGTTGCAGCTGCTACTAAAACTGGAGCTTATGAGCAAGGTCGTTGTGCTGGCGATTTTTTCAAGAAATCATCGACCTTAGTCGAGTACCAAACGTTGACCAGCTAGAAGAGTCACATGCAAAGTTAAAGACTTGCAGAACTTTTCAGGTAATTACAACTGTTATGAAAGAAATATAGTAAATAAAATGAATGTACTGTAGAATTTTTAATTTAAGTGGCGCACAATCAAATACTACCAGGTGTTTCTTAAAAGGGTTGTAAAACCGTTAACAGTTTAGTTGGTATCATTTGTTGTTAGAGATTCCCAGTCCAACTTCAAGATTTTTCTTTGGTGAAGGTAATTTTATTCGTTTCTCGACTTAAAATAATCATCCTTCAGTAAAATGCCGCAAGCTTTATATATATAAATATTCGATATATAAAGTTGCAAACAAAATACCGTAAACTACACCTTACAAAGACTATTATACTACGTTATAAGAACGGCCAGAAGAAGCAATTTATCATCAATACCCTCTAGCACTAGCCATATTTGTGATTTACAATTTTTTATCAAAAACGGTTTTATAAGTAAATTAAAAAAAGAAATAGAGAACTTTGAAATGCTCAAAAGCCTGGTATCGGCACTCATGTTCCTGTCCAGTTTTGATAACATTTTCATGAGAGTCTCAGTGAGTCTAAATTCAGCTTTTCTCGCTCAACTCTGCTTTGCAAGTTATTGACTCTTTTCCCTTTATTTAAGAACATTTGGTATGTTTACTTGCAATGTGATATATTTTTACCTCAGTTGGGTTATTTCAATTTGATTACAATCTAAATGTAAGTCATTTCCCCGACAGCCCATCGATGTGTACGCAGTAAAATTTTTCATTTTTTGATGCCTTTAAAAAACGGACAAATTTGTTCCAGGGTTCTATTCCATCGGCTAAAGCCTTCTAGGGCGACTTCAAAACGGACGCCACCGTACAACAGACAGTCTTTTAATGTCTCTTTTATGTGTTCGTTTCTATTTACTCTGTGTTCGTTTATGTGTTCGTTTATGTCTGTTTCTTTCTACCCTGGGTACCGGAGTCTCCATTATTCAGACTCAGAAATATAGTTATAAACTATTCACAAAAATTCATTCTTTGCCACCGCTGCTGTCTGCAATACTTTTCCCCCGGATTTACGAGGCTATGGTAACCAGGGCAGTTTTTATCAAAATGTCGTTCTCACCATACTACAAACGGATGCGTTATGACAATGTTTCCTCATTTACATCTCTTTTGGGGGAAAGGCGGTGATGGTTGATAGGATCCAAGACATGAGAAGAATAACGAATAAGAAATTAGGTTTTTATTCACAAATGGTTTATGTAAGTCTAACATTTATTGTAATCCTGTTTTATTCACAACTTCGTAACATTTTCATGTTTTTCATGCACTTTCGATCAACATCCTCATGTGTTTGAATTCAGCAAAGTTATGAGATATCAAAAATAGTTATTTTCTTCTAACAGAAATGCTCTATCTGTGGAAATTTAATCAAGCAATATGCATCATGTTTTTCTACTATTTGTTTATCAAGTTTCAACAATTTTTAACCTTGATGGCTACTTTTGCCATAATTCTTATTTCTTCAAAATCTTTAAACTTTGCAATCATTTTACTCATTCTGCAATCATTTCTGCCATCGCAATAAGGTTTTTCTGATCGTTTCGTTTTATGAAAATTTTTCCACAAATAATTTGTGTTTCCCTTAAGATAGACATTTTCTAACATGTAAAATCTACATTTTGGAAATTTGTGCGTCTGAATTACATGTTGTCCGCTGTAAGCCTAACAAATTGTTATATCCTTTTAGAACGACCACATCAACATGATGAATGCGTTAAGGCGCCAAGTTCTCATATCTAACGATAGGGTTAGAGGGGCCCAGCTTGACATGGAAATGACCGAATTTGACCTCAACCAAGCAAACTCTCAGTTGAACAAAGAAGCAATGAACCTGGAGCTTTTCAAAATTGGGTTGACCCAGGCCAATGAGACTTACGCTGGCAAGTTGCTCTTCTTTCATCAAACGAATAGGCAAAGCTCAGAAAATTTTGAATGCTTACAAGCGCAAATTGTTGAGCAGAGGAAAAGTTTCAAGGAAGAGCTGAACACCAAGCAGGTTCGTCTTGCCCGTCTTAAGATGGCCTTGCATTCAGCAAAAGACAAAAAGAGCTTGATCATGGGGCACTTGGCAAAAAGTCGTGAGAAAATTCTGAAGAATAAGCTGAAGAATGACAAAGAATTTGTGGATGTCTACGAAGAGCTTGCAAAGAAAAAACATGTTAATGCTGAAATGTCCCGTGCTTTGGAGATGCAAGATCGCATGATTGCAGGCTTGAATGAAGAAGGTGCTCGTTTAGAAGAGGAAATGAAGATTAAGGAAGAGAAACTGAAAAAATCTAAAAGAAAATGGAAGATAAGATTCCTCTCTTTCTTTTGTATTCATTTAGAAGAAGACTGACTTAGTAGTGCAATTTGAATATCGTTTTAAATAGCTGTTACTTAATAGTACTTGATTGACCTGGTTTAAAATTGTCTTTTCTTTCTGTACCACTGGATTTTCTGGCTTAAAATTTATCCTTTTTAATGGTTTGAGATGTGTAGTTACAAAGGAAAAACAGAGAAATGTCCAGTAAATGACGTTTGAGATCGATAGTTTTTGCTCAGTAAGGTAAAGTTCCAAATCTTGCGATCATTCCAATGGATAGGAAGCATAAGCAATTAGATGGGCTGTGCGGCTAGAGGGGCCATGATTGGCCGCGCCGAAATTATATCCTTCTTTAAATGTGACAAACAAGACCGTACTGTCACATCAGGAAACAGTGAAATTTTTCATCGATGGGAATGGATCCAGTTGACTGACGTGGGGATTCTCTTTGCAAAGGTTTTAGCTCCTTCTCTGCGAAAGATCGAACTGTTTGTTGTTTTGATAAAGGTTGCTTATAAGACCTGAAGTTGAAGTTTAAAACACATTAAGGGAGACTTTAAAATTGTAAGAATGATTTTGATTAGGAGAATATCGATTCGACAAACCTGAAGAAACTGCAGTGACAATAAAGTTTGTTGAAAAGCCGATTTTGATGGTGTTAGTCAAGAGCTAAGCGTACTAACGTATTGCTATTAAAATTAAATTTATGTTTTGCTTTCTGTTACTAAATTGTTATTTTTTGCTTGATTAGGAAATTCAGGACAAATGTACTGGTCTGCTAGGATTTACAAACGACTGAGTTTCATGCCTGATTTTTTAAGTATTTCTCTGCAAAAGTCAAATTTAAGTCCAGTTCTGCAATTTCAATTGTCAGTGTGAAACATTGTCTATTTACCAAAATATTTCAAGACATGTTTACTGCTAGCGTTATTTCATGATTAGAAAAAGTGGTAAAATGGGCGGTGGTTATCTATATATAAAGGCTATAAATATTGTCAAATGTTCAGTTGAATTCAGAAAACTATCTAAATTAACTTTAACAATAATTAATACATGTTGTGAAATTTTAAAGATAAAAGATTTAATCTTGAGTTAGCATATCTCCTCCCCCCCCCCCGCCCCCCGTTCCCAAAATGCTTGCATTAAATTCAATCACGTCACAGTCGCTAATGCAGCAAGTGTAATTGTGACGTAATATTTGCTACGTCAGATTGATGTAGTAAGACATAAATAGCGTCGCGTTTGATAGTTCATTGCCTACAAGCTGAGATTCGAATGAACAGAGCTACGTTCAGGCTGTGATCGAAATATACTAGTGTTTGTTGATATATCAAAATTGAGATATCACTGAAGATGGAAGATTTACTCAAGGTTTCTTTAGACCAACCTAACAATCAGCGTATCCGGACAGAGCCTTTCAGAGTTGCTGAGGATGTTTTCAAAACTCAAGATGCCTCGTGCCAAGAGACAAAAAGTGTTGTTGCAGATCGTCAAGATGAAGAAAGCTCGACCTTTCATGATTTGCTGCAGACCTTCAGTCAAGAGGTTGATGATCGGGAAAAATACGCAGTTGCAGGAACCTACGACAATAGTTCTTCAAGGTAAGACACTGTTAAGATCAATCTTAAAAGTCTTTTTCGATGTATTGAAGCTGACTCAGTTCTGAATGTCTTTTCTGTTTATAGCTGAGGTTTTGCGAACCTAACCTTTTAAGATGATGACAAATGATTTTGTAAATTCTGTATTTTCCTTTCTTCCTTTCGTAGGAATGATGCCTTGAAATCGTGCAGTGTTTCTGCCCTCTCAGATGAAGTAAATTATGCCGATGCTGACGAGTTTTATGAATTTGGAGAGAAGTCTGATGAGGAACAAAGGTAAACACCTACATGTTTACTTAATTTTTCATTACAATATGTTAATGCTTTTGCGCTTTATAATTCATCGAAGAGGTAATGGACCTTACATACCGTCAATCCTTGAATTGCCCCCCTCGAAAAAGCCCCCACCCTAGAGCTACAAATTGTCAATAAGCCCCTCCTCGAATAAACCGCCACTGCTACCGTAAATTTTCGAATTGGACCCCTCCATTTGATGATTTTTACCATCTAAGGTTGCCTATGGCATTTTATTGAATCAACTCCACCAATTCATACTTTTGGTTGTAATTAATTAAATGCTTACAAAGAAATTCCTACTTAAACAAACGAGGTCTTTTAATAATATCTTCTTAATGTCTACCATAATTTTATAAGCCCCCCCAGATCGTTGGCGTGTGTAAATATCTTATAAACGTATAAAGAATATTTTGATGTTACTCTTAAAATCGGCTCCGTGGCCAATTCTACAGGAAAGATTTCGTCTCCTCAGATAAAAAGACATTTACCCTTAATTAAGTGTAGATGGTATATATCCCTTCAGAAGTCCTACGTCGTATGAATCTAAAGGGAGAGTTATTTAATCATCAGCATCATAACAGTGCTATACATATTCAAAATATTCCTTATGCATTGACTCGTCAAGATTCTCTATTATGTTAGTTATATGATCATTGTGTAAATAAGATTTGTTCACTTATGGAAAAAGGTATGTTTTCAAGCTGTGTTTCCGTCAGTAACAGACTTAAGTTCTATCATTTTTTCAGTGACAATGAAGAGGAACCATCACTCTATAATGATATTGAGAATTCAATCGCAAGTGATTGTGAAGTATCGTACAATACACAACAATCAGAGGAGGAATGTTGCGATAATTATCATCTTTCGCAGACCTATGAAAGGTACGTGCGAAAGTTTTCAGTTGAAGTGAATCCTAGGAAAAAGTGCCAGTTGTATTGTTCAGAGGACAAAAATACAGAGTTTTCAGACGTTCGCAACGTGTTTTTAGTTTCAATCAATAGTCACAATTTGTAGAATTAAGTCAAGACACTTTAATCATTGTTCTAAATTTAAGTGACATATTGATACTCCATCAAAAATTCCGCTGAAGAGATCCCCTAGCACTATCTTCCAGATCTATTTTTATAGAAAACTTTACCCAGAAGAGTGTTCATGACTTCGAAACATAGGAAAAAGTTGCTCGTTCATTGCATTTTCATTGAATATTCTCAATGCTTTTACAAAAGTCAGAACAGCACCCATCTGCTTTGAATTTTACTTGAAATCGATAGGGCTTTAATATTTCATTGACTCTGCCTTCTTGTTTCATTTCTGGAAGTACAATCAACAAAAAACAACTAGTTCTGCCATTGAAGCAAATTTATATAGTTACTAGCTCTGTTTGCAATTTGCAAAACTTGTATACATTAACTACTACGCACTGTAAGCACTGTCGTCTAAAATCTGACTGTTTCAACTCTGTTTTTCGTCCAAATGCTTGTTTATATCAAAGTAAATTGGGCTATTCGAATGCATATCGTAACTTGCTTTAATAAATTCTTTCTTGTACGCAGTGATTTGCCAACAAGCAGCGAAACGTTTCAGCATAACTTTCAAGAGCAAAGCGAAAGCGTTTATTATCACATTTCCGGCGATCAAGAAAAATCGGAGCCGATTTATTCCAATCAAGAGACTTATGAATATCAAAAAAGGTAGAACTCGATTTAAATTTTTCAAAATAATGATATCATTGAAACATAAACTTTGAAACTTGAACATCTTTAGTTCGTTTTCATAATGACTTTCTCTGAAAGGTGTTGCAGAGGGGTGCTCAATCAATCAAGGGCTTGTTTACTTTATTGCCTACATCGAAGAAACTCCCTTTTACATTCTTACTTTATCCCTATTTCGTATACAGTTTTTCCTGTTGCATATTTTTTTTTATAAGCTATGCCAGGCTCCTATACCCTTTATTTAAGTGATTTATAAAGCAACACTAGTTTAACCCTTGCCACGCCATTTTATAGAAAATGGTAGAGATTAAAATATATAGGTACAAATTGTTTGATTTGCTACATAAATTCAGAACGTTTTTGTAAAAAAAAAACCTCGCTATGTAACAAAACAATCTAGAAATCTGTTTTATTGTTTGCTGTACGTGCTTTAATGAAAATGCATTTGATTTCAATTTTCTTCAACCTTTGCAAGAAGAGTTTTTAAATAATACTCATCATTATGTTATTCTTATTTAGAAATGCTGCCAGTGACGTAACGACTGGTGTCAATGGATACAATGCTCATAGAATTCAAGAATTCACGAGCCCTCAAAATGAATTTGACCATCTAGATGAATCACTGGCAAGTTTGAAAACAGAGCTTGCAGAAATTTTCAGGTAATAACATTCAAGTTCAATTTTTGAAATTTATTTTTGTAAGAATGTAGTATTTTTGAACTTCTAAGGACTTAAATACAAAAGGTGCTAAAATACCATTCGGATGACATATAATGGAAATTACAAAATACCTCAAACTGTCAGCCGGTGCTCTGTTATGAATGAATAGAGTTTTTCATGTTCCGGCGTGCAAAGTAAAATGGTTTTCAATTGACACTCCAAATTTCACTTTTTTGCGTCTATCCATGTGCCTTTGACCCTGTTGCCCTCACAGATTTGATTTTTTTGCTTTTCTTGAAGCCTCATCTTTGTATTATCCACGTTGGAAATATCTTTGACATATTGAACATCAATTATCCAAAGCATCACAGACCCATGAAGAGAGTCAATATCTCAACTTAATGACAATTTGAGTTTTGGAATTGCTGATCAATTCCTCACTATTCCATGGCCTTTCAATTTTCATTCTGCTTTTGCCAACTTTCTTGTTAACAGAAAACAGTACTGCCCTGACCTAAAAGTAAATTTACATTATTTTTATATCTTCTATAGGAGAAGAGATGGACTACTGGCAAGAATAATAGAAATAAAGCGAGTGCAAAATGAGAAACTCAGCTTCTATTCAAAGATGGTGGATGTAAGTCGCTCTAAATCATTCATATCAGATCAGTCGTAGCGTCTCTATATTTACGTGACAAGTTCCTTGAATAAAATGATCGTTTTCATTAGTTTGATACGAAAATCTCGCTTCCTGATTAAAGAACTTCTGTAACAGTGAGTGAATTGAATGAGCAATTTTTTGGACAAAAACTTGCAACGAACAAAATGTAGGCAAGAATGTTTAAACCATTAGAATATTCAAAATTGAACAACTTTTTGTTAGATATCCAATAAAATACTTGCTTCCATTCTAGAATGACTACAGCAATATAATGGATGAGCTGAGACGCCAAGTTCTCATATCCAACGATAGGGTTAGAGGGGCCCAATTTGACATGGAAATGGCTGATTTTGACCTCAACCAAGCACACTCTCAGTTGAACAAAGAAGCAATGAACCTGGAGCTTTTCAAAATTGGGTTGACCCAGGCCAATGAGACCTACGCTGGCAAGTTGCTCTTCTTTCATCAAATGAATAGGCAAAGCTCAGAAAACTTTGAGTGCTTACAAGCCCAACTTGTTGAGCAGAGGAAAAGTTTCAAGGAAGAGCTGAACGCCAAGCAAGTTCGTCTTGCCCGTCTTAAGATGGCCTTGCATTCAGCAAAAGACAAAAAGAGCTTGATCATGGGGCACTTGGCAAAAAGCCGTGAGAAAATTCTGAAGGCCAAGCTGAAGAACGACAAAGAATTTGTCGATGTCTACGAAGAGCTTGCAAAGAAAAAACATGTTAATGCAGAGATGTCCCGTGCTTTTGAGATGCAAGATCGCATGATTGCAGGCTTGAAAGAAGAAGGTGCTTGTTTAGAAGAGGAAGTGAAGATTAAGGAAGAGAAGCTAAAAACAGCTAAAAGTAAATGGAAGAGAAGATTCCTCTCTTTCTTTTGCATTCGTGTAGAAGAAGACTGACTTAGTTGTGCATTTTGAAGTCTGTTGTATATAACTGTTATTTTATATTACTTGGTTGATCTGGTTTGAAAATTGTCTTTTCTTTCTGTACCACTGGATTTTCTGGCTTAAAATTTGTCTTTTTTAATGGTTTGAGATGTATTGTTACAAAGAAAAACAGAGAAATGTTCAATAATGGACGTTTTAGATCAAACGTTTTGCTCGGCAAATAGAGTTCCAAATCTTGCAATAATTCTAATGCGTAGGAAAAATATGATTGAAAATGTCGGCTTCCAGTTGCAAAGCATAACGCTTTTGCCATCAAACGGGGAGAAGGGTTATGATGGGCTGCGCCGAAATAAAATCCTTCTTTGAATGTTAAAGATAAAACCGCCATTCACGTCAGTTAAAAGCAATAAACTTTTATCGACGTGGAAGGATCTAATTGACTGAGACTTTCTTTGTAATGCTTTTAGTTGTTTCTTCTGTGCAAAATTCAAGTTGCACATTAAATCTGGTACTGAGGATAAAACACACACACAAATACACGCACAAAAAAGAACTTTAACAAAATATATACGATCTGCTTCAATAGAGAAACTATGCGTTCGATAAACGTCGAATAAAGCTACTTCAGGGGGAGTTTTTATGTTGTGACGAATGCTGCTCAATCTTTGCCTAAATATTGGCACATTAGCACATTTTCAATAGCATCCCCCTCGAAACGATGCTGTTATATTCAACATTACGAGCTTCGTATTTGACTGAATAGAGTTGTCAGATTGCTAGGAGCGCTTCGAAGGATTTTTGCAGCAAGTCTCATTGGATTCTCTTTGCTTGCATTAATTTATTAGAAGAATAAATCACCGATGAAGTGCACATTCAGCCAAAGACCTTAAGTACCATATTCAAATGCAGACAACTTATTGTCTGATTGAGAGTGGGAGCAAGAATTTCCGATTTCCGAAGTAGAAATGACTGACTCGTGAGACAGTGACTTCCTTTTTCGAGTTTTGTCTATCGCTACTTTCCAAGGTTAGATCTGAATAAACTAAATATTTGACTGAAAAGTATAGAAGAAATGCTTGTATCATTTATTCCAGCGTCATTATGAAACAAATTTATGCCAATGTATCGTTTTATGGCAATAGGATTTTTTATGCGAAATTTGTCATGAAATCATGATGAAAATGCTGATGTCAGCAAATCATGTTTGAATATACATGAATTGAAAGCTTGCAATAAGACGAGTCAAAATATGTCATTGTCATTAAAAAATATCTTTGCAGTGAGGAGCTACCGATGATTTTGCTTGGGTTTTTTTCCATCAAGACTTGACATCCAAGCATTTTCGAAAAGGTCAGCTGAAAGTTTATGAAATTCTGGGCCCTGTTTTACAAGAATCAGATGAGAAAGCAAATGTTTGGTTGAATGTCAGATTGCCAGGCTATAGGCCATACCTTTTTGTTTTACAAGAATCACATGAGAAAGCAAACATTTGGTTGAATATCAGATTGTCAGGCTATAGGCCATGTCTTTTTTGTTTAGCAAGAATCAGATGAGAAAGCAAACATTTGGTTGAATATCAGATTGTCAGGCTATAGGCCATGTCTTTTTTGTTTTACAAGAATCAGATGGCTATAGGCCTTGTCTTATTTGTTTGTTTCAGATGGTTAAAATTATTGACTCTAAAACTAACATTGTTTTGAGAGGGGGTGCACTTTAGAGAACTTGTAACTGTTGTTTTCTGAACGCCCTTGAGCAAGCAAAAGTGCATGTTTAGTTATTACATTTTCATCTCACATTTACAAATTTCATTATAATTTGTCTCTACATAACACTTTGCTATTAACCGTGTTAAAACAGATCACGTGGTACAATATACAACATGATTTGGCCAGATTCTGTCATGAATTTTGTCAAAAAATGGTTGAGTGTTTTTTGATCAAGAAAGTGAACTTAGCAGCTGCGGGCAGGCGATGACCGTTGTCTTCGATTACTGAATCGTGTAGCAAGGAACCTATGTTTTTACTCGATTACTTTGTCGATCTTTCATACTGATAGGCAAGGGCGGATTTGAGAAACAATAATTAGGGGGCGCCCTAAATCCGCGTGGTCCTTAGACACGAATTTAACCATGTAACACAGATCTTCGGAATCAGCTCCCCAAGATTGACTAAACTGAATCTGTCATAAATTTCGCGTTCAGGAGACGATACCCCCTTTCTCCGCCTGGACTATTCACAAGGGTGCAACGGCTTCGAGAAGTGGGGCAACAGCAATAGCCTCCTCTAATAATCCAGATTTTTCTGAAAATTTTGGGAATTTTGCTTCCTTTTTAAGAACTTCTAGAAAATTTTATCTGAAGTTATGGTCTCTTTTTTTGCTGCGTTGTTGAAGTTAGAATATTGCCTATTCACAAGTTTAAACTCTTCCATGAAAATTTAGTTCCTTTCCAATTTGGTCAAATTTTATTTAGGCAAATCATAGTCGCTACGAAGGAAGATTATGGGTAAGTGTACTTATCTATTCAAATCAAACAATTACAGAATACAAATCATTAAATTTCATGGGGCTTTTTCACCATATCACTACCTCGCTGCCTAAAATTCATTCTAGTCGTGCACAACTCTTGAAGTTGCAATGGTCACTGTGAAACGTGGTGTAATCAACAACGAAATTTTCCAAAATATTGTAGGAAATTGGATATATATCAGGATTATTATAGAATATATCTACAAAATATTCAGCCAGTGGCGTATAAAAGGCACACGGGGCCCTTACCTATGGACTGTATGAAAGTACCATCCAATTGTGTATTGCATATTGAACGGAATAGCAAATTGCGACAAGGATAATTTTTGTTCTTTAACTAGGTGTTCGTCAACTAGCTATTTGCTTCAGTTGCATCTATTCTTATAATCATGGATTTTAAAATATCTAGATGGCTTCATTTCATTGGGTACCCAAAGTTATCAAACTTGGGTGGCTCAGTTCGTGTTACACAACGGTTTTTGGCGCTATTCCACGAAGTTTAGGAATGGTGTATATGAATGGTATTAGCAATTGCTAAAGGCTACATTTTGTATAAAAATGATTATGCAGAAACAAGTATAAAGAAACATAATCAATACAATGGTTCATGATGTGAAATTTTAAAGATAACATTGTAGTAAATCTGAGTGTACTACGAAAACCATAATCAGTTTTAGATAGAACCCGCACCTGTTCCAAAAATAGATAAAAGGCGCACTTTTCCCGAATGACTAGTGTTTGTTTTGCATGCATTAAATTCAATCACGTCACAGTCGCTAATGCAGCAAGTGTAATTGTGACGTAATATTTGCTACGTCAGATTGATCCAGTAAGACATAAATAGCGTCGCGTTTGATAGTTCATTGCCTACAAGCTGAGATTCGAATGAACAGAGCTACATTCAGGCTGTGATCGAAATATACTAGTGTTTGTTGATATATCAAAATTGAGATATCACTGAGGATGGAAGATTTACTCAAGGTTTCTTTAGACCAACCTAACAGTCAGTGTATCCGGACAGAGCCTTTCAGAGTTGCTGAGGATGTTTTCAAAACCCAAGATGCCTCGTGCCAAGAGACAAAGAGAGTTGTTTCAGATGGTCAGGATGGAGAAGGCTCGATTTTTCATGATTTGCTGCAGACCTTTAGTCAAGAGGGTGATGATTTTGACGAAAACGTAGCTGCAGGAAACCACAATGGCAGTTTTTCAAGGTAAGATTTTAGATCAACATTTAAAGCCTTATTGGAAAAAATGAAGCTGAAACATCGCTGTGGATTGTTTACGTTTATAATTATGTTATTGCAAACCTTTTCTAAATATCTTACATAATCCTGAATTTATTTCTTAGGAAGGACGCCTTGAATTCATGCAGTGCTTCTGCTATCTCAGATGGATCGACTTATGCAGATGCCGATGAGTTTTACGAATTTGGCGAAACTTCTGATGAAGAACAAAGGTTAGTTCGTTAATTTCAACTCTAAGGCCTTCAGTTAATGTTCAAAGAAATATTTTTTCGTTGACCTTTATTTCAATGCAATATTTTAATGCCTTTGAGTAATAAAGATATTAGAAATCAATATTAAATAATCAATTAGATATTTTTTGGCCATTTCTTTCTTTAAAAACAACATTTAGATGGTTTTGAGCTCAATAACTCATTGAGGAAGTTAAAGATTATTTGAAAAATTTCACAACAAACGATATTCTTAAGGAAACTTTGACAATGAAAACTTCTGAAATATTGGAACGGAAAAATATAGTATTTTGTTACCATGAAATGATTAATTATTTGTTTGTTATATCTTAGCTTACCTGAACTTTTGCTATTTTCTTAGAAATTCAATTGTTTTTGCCTCTTCTAAACATTTATCGCTTTTTGACGCCTTTAATTACCGTTCTTTATTTGTAATATTATGTTGCTGACTCAGGCTATTTTAGTTTGATCAGAATTTTTAAAAAGTATTTCTGACAACATTGTCATATCTGGTTTTCAGTACTTCCTTTTTTTGTAGTTCTCCTAACAATGCTGATCAACCGATTTCCGCTGAAGATTCAGGGGATACCGCAGATTACCTTGCAGCTGATGCATGGAATCTGAAACTGCACGATGTTAAAAGCAACGGAGAAGATGAATGCTTGCAAGACGCTCAGAGGTAATTCTTCTTGGTGATATCTTATGAGCTTTTTTTTAGATAGGATTCACTGCAAATAATTCTACAAAGAAATTGAAATGTGCATATACTCATACGTTAGTTAATGCTTCTAAAACTAAGGTCCAATGCCAAATCTTCTTGATGAGAGATCGGCTCCTCAAGTAAAATGACACTTGCCCCTCTTTTTTACTGATGGTATCTTGCCCTTTTATATGTCATCCGGTGTTTCAGTGTAATCCTATGGCCCCTTATGGCCTCCTATGGCTACAGCCTCTGAGTCATCAACATCATAACAGTGTCATTGATATTGAAGGTATTCCTGATTCACGGAGCCGTCTGGGTTCTCGTCTCTGAACACTGAGGAAATGAAGATCTGTGAAACTTGTGGGAAAGTCTTGGTTTTGTCATTCTAAAGCTTTAAATTTTCTTATTTTTAGTGACTATGAAGAGGAACAAGCACCCTCTAATGACATAGAGCAGCCACTTTTAAGTGATGGTGAAGTATCGTACAATACACAACAATCAGAGGGAGAATATTGCGATGACTACCATCTTTGGCAGTCCTATGAAAGGTACGTTTATACAATGTGCCAGGTTTCGTATTCAATAGGTTAAAAGAAAGAGCTAGTTTCACGTTTGATACTTAGATACTTAATTCCAATCAATGACAATAAATTATACAAATATATTTAAGATGGTATGAACATCACTTTAAGTTTATGTGACATATGGATACTGAATCTTCAACTTTAAATAGGTTTTTTTATCATCCTACTATTTATTTCTAACTTTATGTAGAACTTTAACCCATAAGTAGACTTTTTCTGCCGCAAAGCAAGGTATCCACAGTAAACTACACAAATTGCCTGTCATTGGCTATCACATAAAATGTCTCAATGCTATCATGGATGCCAAGACAAGTTTCATCTGCTTTGGCTATTTTCTTGAACACTGTGTTGTTGCTACATTCCTGGTAGTTTTCTGTATGCAATTTGCAAAATTCTACATCTACTTCTTGAAATCACCGTCGTCCGTAATCCAACGGTCCATTCAAAGTCAATGTGATTATTCCAATGCATATCATAACTTTCTTTTACAAATGCTTTTCTTTATGCAGTGACTTGCCACCAACCAGTGGAACATCTCCACATTACGCTCCAGAGCAATATGAAAGTGTCAATTATAACATATCCTGTGATCAAGAAGTATCGAAAGCATTTTATGCCAACCAAGAGACATACATTTCTCAGCAAAGGTAAAAATGATTTATATTCGTTAGGATAATGACATGTATGAAACGCTAACTTTGAACCTTACGTATTCAGTTCGTTTTTAAAATAGATTTCAGTCACTTTCACTCAATGATATTACAGAGGGACAAACAATCAATCAATCAATCAATCAATCAATCAATCAATCAATCAATCAATCAATCAATCAATCAATCAATCAATCAATCATACCAAGCAGCCAATCAACCAATCAATCAAAGAGATCTCTATATTCGTTTTCTTAATCGCCAACATATACCTTTCATCATATCTTTGTTTCCTGCTGCGTATTTCGTAATTTCATCAGCTATGGCAGGTTCTTTTCCCTTTTTGTGCGACTTAGAGAACCAATTTAACTTATAGCCTGCCACGTATTCATATAAAGTTTTAGAAAGTGACAGAAAAAGGCATAAAATTGTTCGAATCTATAGAATGGTAGGGAGCAGTTCATAAACTTTTTATTAATTCTGAACGTTTTATTTTAGTTTTTGTAATAGAAATTGAGAAATCTACTTTTTGCTGTATTTGCGTAAATAATAATGTATTTGACGTTAATTGTCATGAAGAAATTCTGAATCATACTTAGAAATGCTGTCACTGGCATGATGACTGAAGTGAATGGATACAATGCCCAGGAAGTTCAAGAATTCACGAGACCTTTCAATGAATTTGACCACCTAGATCAATCATTTGCAAGTTTGAAATCAGAGCTTGCAGAACTTTTTAGGTAAAAACATTCTACTTTCCCGTCGAATTTTCTTCTTCATAAAAATATGATATTTATATTATGATCAATATTTCTATAATGTGATAGATATTTCTTATTGCGTAAATGAAAAAGGTTCTCAAATGTTATATAGATGAAAGATAATGAAAATAACAATATACTGATTTACTGTCTTGTGCCGATGTTGCATGAATATGCAATAATTGATGTACAATTTCCTGCGTGCAAAGGAAATAGGTTTAAATTGCTACTCCGAGTTTCACGTTCTCTTTTGTGGCCTCCACACGTCCCCTTGGACCATGCTTTTTCATACAAAGCGCAACTTTGAAAATTATCAAACGTCATCTCTTATATATTTTTTTTCTTTTAATGAAAATAGTTTGCAAAGTTATTGAGGTAGTCCACATTTACCCATCTGTAGCATTTCATTCCAACAAAATCATTAATATATGAATGTAAATCTTTTATTGATTTATACGTCATATCTTACAAGATACAATTTGCTTTCTCGAACTGCTGAGTAGCTTCTCTCTTTTTAACTGCGCTTAAGTTTATTGTCACCTTCCTCTTTTTAATTTATGTTCTTGCTTTTGCAAGTCCTTTTTAGTCAACTAAGAATATGTACTGCTCTGACGTAAAGACATAATTTTATGTTATTATTTTTTGTATCTTCTTCAGGAGAAGAGATGAATTACTTGCAAGAATAATAGAAATGAAAAAGGTGCAGAATGAAAAACTGAGCTTCTATTCAAATATGGTTGAGGTAAGTTTGACACAGATATTAATATTCGATCAATTTTGCCTGTGTATTGGTTTGCGGTATTGTCCTTAAAAAGAATTGTTGTTTTCATAAGCGTGTTTCACAAATTCATAAAACTCGGTTCTCGATTAAGTAGCTCCTCTAGCATTAGTAAGTGAATTGAACATGCGTTGTGTTTTGCTTTGGGCTGAACCTTGCTATAGCATGTAGGACAAGCAAGGTTATTTAGACTTTTAGAAAAATTCTAAGTTGAACAACTTTTTGTTAGAAAGCCAATAAAATATTTACTTCCATTCTAGAACGACTACAGCAACATGATGGATGAGCTGAGACGCCAAGTTCTCATATCCAACGATAGGGTCAGAGGGGCCCAATTTGACATGGAAATGGCTGATTTTGACCTCAACCAAGCACACTCTCAATTGAACAAAGAAGCAATGAACCTGGAGCTTTTTAAAATTGGGTTGACCCAGGCCAATGAGACTTACGCTGGCAAGTTGCTCTTCTTTCATCAAACGAATAGGCAAAGCTCAGAAAACTTTGAGTGCTTACAAGCGCAACTTGTTGAACAGAGAAAAAGTTTCAAGAAAGAGCTGAACGCCAAGCAAGTTCGTCTTGCTCGTCTTAAGATGGCCTTGCATTCAGCAAAAGACAAAAAGAGCTTGATCATGGGGCACTTGGCAAAAAGCCGTGAAAAAATTCTGAAGAATAAGCTGAAGAACGACAAAGAATTTGTCGATGTCTACGAAGAGCTTGCAAAGAAAAAACTTGTTAATGCGGAAATGTCCCGTGCTTTGGAGATGCAAGATCGCATGATTGCAGGCTTGAGAGAAGAAGGTGCCTGTTTAGAAGAGGAAGTGAAGATTAAGGAAGAGAAACTGAAAACATCTAAAAGTAAATGGAAGAGAAGATTCCTCTCTTTCTTTTGCATTCGTGTAGAAGAAGACTGACTTAGTTGTGCATTTTGAAGTTTGTTGTATATAACTGTTATTTTACAATACTTGATTGACCTGGTTTGAAAATTGTCTTTTCTTTCTGTACCACTGGATTTTATGGCTTAAAATTTATCCTTTTTAATGTTTTGAGATGTATTGTTACAAAGGAAAATAGAGAAATGTTCAATAACGGACGTTTTAGATCAATAGTTTTGCTCGGTAAGATAGAGTCTCTAATCTTGTGACAATTGCTGTTCGATGGGCCATGATGGGCAACACCGAAATAAAATCCTTCTTTGAATGTAAAAGATAGAACCGATGTTTCCGTCAATTAAAAACAATAAACTTTTATCGACGTGGAAGGATCTAATTGACTGAGACTTTCTTTGAAAAGCTTTTAGCTGTTTCTCCTGTGCAAAGTTTAAGTTGCACATTAAATCTGGCACGGAGGTTAAAACACACACAACTGCACGCACTAGGTAGAGCTTTAACAAATATATACGATTTGCTTTAATAGAGAAACTATGCGTTTGATAAACGTTGAATAAAGTTACTTCAGGGGGAATTTTTATGTCGGGACGAACGCTGCTCAATCCTTGCCTAAATATTGGCACATTAGGACATTTCCAATAGCATCCCCCTCGAAGCGATGCTGTTGTATTCAATATTACGAGCTTCGCCTTTTTCAAAATAGAATTGTGAGATTGTTAGGAGCGCTTCGAAGGATTTTGGCAGCAAGTCTCGTTGGATTCTCTTTGCTTGCATTAATTTGAAAATTAATTTACCGATGAAGAAAATCATGCAATTTCGGCCAAGACTGTGCGAAGATCCTTAAAATACATTCTTAAGACTAAGTGCCACATTAAAATGAAGATAACTTATTGAGAGAGGGAGCAAGATTTTTCGTTTTCCGAACTAGACGTGACTGACTCGTGAAACAGTGACTTCCTTTTTCGAATTTTGGTTATTGCTACTTTCCCAAGTTAGATCTGAATGAACTAAATATTAAGAATTTGACTGAAAAAGCATAGAAGAAATGCTTATATCATTTTTTCCAGCGTCATTATGAAACAAATTTATGCCAATGTATCGTTTTATAGCAATAGGATCTTTCATGCAAAATTTGTGATGTCGTCATATTGAAAAAGGCCTATTTTAGCAAATTAAATTTAGATATACATAAATCGAGATTTTGCAATAAGACGAGTCGAAATATTTCGTTTTCATTAAGAATAATTCCCCATTGAATAGCTAACGATTTTGTTTTTTCATTATTCTATGAAGAGACTTCATCTGTCAAGTGACATCCAGGCATTTTCAAAAAGACATTCTCAAAAAATTAAGAAATTCTGGAGCCCTTTCTACAAGAATCCGACAAGAAAGCAAACATTATGCTGAATGTTAGATTGTCAGGCTATATGTCCTGTCTAATTAGTTTATTTCAAAAAGTTACATTTTTTGACTCTACAACTAACATTGTCTTGGAAGGCGGATGCGCTTTAGAGAACTTGTAACTCTTTTTTCTTTCCAAACTCACTTAGGCAAGTGCGTGTTTCAAAGTTTTCTGGCAGGAATTGGACCAAGTTATGACATTCCCATCTTACATCTACAAATTTCATTGTAACTAGTTTCTACATAACATTTTGCTATTTACCGTGTTAAAACAGACCATGTGGTACAATATACTTAGAATTTAGAATGAGAAGGTCTGTGAGCGCACATGATCCTTGAAAGCTTAAAAAGCTTTTATTTCTTTGATACGCTTTGCTTTCCAGAGATATCGGGTCTTTTCTCTGCATCAGTAAGCTGAAGGAAATGTTTTTCTATTATTCTTGTTAGATTCTCGAAATACTTAGTTAAAGACGTCTATCTAATATATAAAAATGATTATATTGCGACTTCGTTTTGATACTCCTTTAAGGCATCAATCTGATAAAGGTGAGATTCATGATTTGGCCAGATTCTGTCATGAATTTTGTCGAAAAATGGTTGAGTATTTTTTGTCCAAGAAAGTGAAACTTGGGCAGGCGATGACCGTTGTCTTTGATTACTGAATCGTGTAGCAAGGAACCTAGGTTTTTACTCGATTACTTTGTCGATCTTACCTGATCTATTCAAGTCTAACAATTGCAGAATACAAATCATTGAATTTCATGGGGCTTTTTCACCATATCACTACCTCGCTGCCTAAGATTCATTCTAGTCGTGCATAACTCTTGAAGTTGCAATGGTCACTGTGAAACGTGGTGTCATTAACAACGAAATTTTCCAAAATGTTATAAGAAATTAGATATATAACAGGAATATTATAGGGTATACCTACAAAATATTCAGCCAGTGGTGTAACCAATGCACATGAGGCCCTTATCTACCGACTGTAAGAAGGTATCATCCCGGGGAGATACTCCCATTAAGGCCTGACAGGGGGTTCTGTCCGTTTGAGGGTCAAACCAAATGGTTACCAAATGGCCCAATTTGCGAAAATAACTGAACTGCTCAGTTTAGCTTGCAATTTGTTATAGGTAATGAACAAGACTTATTTTTCCCGAAACAAGAACAATTTGTCAAAAAAGGACCAGGAGATCACAAAGAAATGGATGCTACCATTTGAAGGTAGTTTTCAAAAATTTTAGCGTTGGCCCTCTTTGACCCTGACCGGACCCCCTGTCAGGCCATAATGTTGAGTACCCCCTCCCCGAGGGTATCACCCAACTTTGTTTTGCATGTTGAACAGAATAGCAAGTTGTGACAAGGATAATTTTTGTTCTTTAACTTCAGTTGGTTGATTTCCCCGGAGGGGGGGGGGGACCTCAGTGCGATTTGCTTCAGTTGAATCATTGGTTTTAAAAATATCTTTATGGCTTCTTTTGATTGGGAACCCATAGTTATCAAACTGTAATGCCTTGGATCGTGTTACACAATGATTTTGGCGCTATTCCACGAAGTTTAGGAATGGTGAATGGTGTAAACAATTGATAAAGGCTACAACTTGTATAAAAAAGCAGAAACAAGTGTAAAGAAACATAAGCAATACAATGGTTCGCGATGTGAAGTTTTAAAGATGACATTGTAGTTAATCTGAATGTACTACGAGTTACATAATCAGTTTTAGATAGAAGCCGCACTTGTTCCAAAAATAGATTAAAGGCGCACTTTTCCCGAATCACTAGTGTTTGTTTTGCATGCATTTAATTCAATCACGTCACAGTCGCTAATGCAGCAAGTGTAATTGTGACGTAATATTTGCTACGTCAGATTGATGTAGTAAGAAATAAATAGCGTCGCGTTTGATAGTTCATTGCCTACAAGCTGAGATTCGAATGAACAGAGCTACGTTCAGGCAGTGATCGAAATATACTAGTGTTTGTTGATATATCAAAATTGATGAGATATCACTGAAGATGGAAGATTTACTCAAGGTTTCTTTAGACCAACCTAACAATCAGCGTATCCAGACAGAGCCTTTCAGAGTTGCTGAGGATGTGTTCAAAACCCAAGATGCCTCGTGCCAAGAGACAAAGAGAGTTGTTTCAGATGGTCAGGATGGAGAAGGCTCGATTTTTCATGATTTGCTGCAGACCTTCAGTCAAGAGGGTGATGATCTTGACGAAAACGTAGCTGCAGGAAACCACGATGGCAGTTTTTCAAGGTAAGATTTTCAGATTAATCTTTAAAGTATTATTCAAGATTGTGAAGCTAAAACATCTTTGTGGATTATTTATGTTTATAACTGTGTTATTACAAACCTTTTCTTAAAAGCTTACAAAATCCTGAATTTCTTTCTTAGGAAGGACGCCTTGAATTCATGCAGTGCGTCTGCTGTCTCAGATGGATCGACTTATGCAGATGCCGATGAGTTCTACGATTTTGGCGAAACTTCTGATGAAGAACAAAGGTTAGTTTGTTAATTTCAACTCTAAGGCCTTCAGTTAATGTTCAAAGAAATATTCTTTCGTTGACCTTTATTTCAATGCAATATTTTAATGCCTTTGAGTAATAAAGATATTAGAAATTAATATTAAATAATCAATTAGATATTTCCTGGCCATTTCTTTCTTTAAAAACAACATTTGAATGGTTTTGAGCTCAATAACTCATTGAGGAAGTTAAAGATCTTTTGAAAATTTTTACAACCAACGATATTCTTAAGGAAACTTTGACAATGAAGATTTCTGAAATATTGGAACGGAAAAATATAATATTTTATTACTATTGAATGATTAATTATTTGTTTGCTATATCTTAGCTTACTTGTTTGGATTAAAATAAATTTTAGTTAATAGGGAGACCTTTCTTTGGCTGTTTTTATCACGCTATACCTGAACTTTTTTTAATTTCTTAAAATTTCAATTGTTTTTATATCTTTTAAACTTTTATTGCTTTTTGGCGCCTTTAATTACCATTTTTTATTTTATTACAGTTGCTGACTCCGGCTATGTTAGTTTGATCAGCATTTTTAAAAGTATTTCTGACAAATATTTTCATATCTGATTATTATTTCTCCATTTTATTCCTAGCTCTCCTAACAATGCTGAGGAAACGATTTCTGCTGAAGATTCAGGGGATTCCGCAGATTACCTTCCGGCTGATGCATTGAATCCGGCACTGAAAGATGTTGAGAGCAACGAAGAAGATGAATGCTTGGAAGACGCTCAGAGGTAATTTTTCTTGGTGATATCTTTTGAACAGTTTTGTAGAAAGGATTCATTGCAAACAATTCTGCAAAAATATTATCATGTGCATATATTAATAGATATATCATATAAGTTAATGCTTCTTAAACTAAGGTCCAATGCCAAGTCTATTTGATGAGGGATCGTTTCCTCAAGTAAAAGAACACTTGCCCCATTTTTTTTGATGATATGTTGTCCCTTAATTAGTTAATTGGCGTTTGAGTCTACAGGGAAAGTCATATGCAGTTAATAATCCCCATATAGCTACAGCCATTGAGTTATCAACATCATAACAGTGTCATTGATATTATCCCTGATTCACGGAACCGTCTGGATTTTCCAAGTTTTGTCTCTGCGCACTAAGGCAATGATGAATTGTGCAACTTGCGGAAATATCTTTGTTTTGCCAGTCTCAAACTTTAATTTTCTCATCTTTCAGTGACTGTGATGAAGAACCGGCACCCTCTAATGACATAGAGCAATCGCTCTCAAGTGATGGTGAAGTGTCGTACAATACCCAACAATCAGAGGGAGAATATTGCGACGACTATCATCTCTTGCATTCCTATGAAAGGTACGTGTAAACAATTTATGTTCAAGCAAATCCAAGGAAAAAGTGTCAGGTTTATTAGTCAATAGACAAAAAGAAAGGGTTTTTCAGACGTCTGATCGTAGAAAATTTCTACGAAATTCATCGTAGAAAGTTATTTCTTACATCGTACCTCTATCCCTATGTCCTATACAGAATTTCTTGTTGTGATACGTTAACACGTATGTTGTATTTTTATTAACTATGATAGGTTCCCTGATTTCTTTTTATGTTATTTATAAAACCAATAAAGTTTTAACCCAGCCATAGAATCTGTGAACTGGCCAAGATTTTCATAGAAAACGGTGGAAATTGACATATTTAGGCATTAAATTGTTCGAGTCGTAAAGAGTTAGGGGCCGCAGTTTCTTCAAAACGCTATAAAAATTCAAAACTTGTTTTTTTATATTTTGTGAAAATGGTTCTGCCATGCTATGGAAAATTCTAGAAACTTTTGTTTGATTTTTCTGTACTTGCCATATTTGAACTCATTTGATTTCAGTTTTCATTAAATTCTGCAAGAAGAAATTCTGAATCATACTTTTCATGAGTGAATCCTTTTTTAGAAATGCTGCCAGTGACGTAATGACTGATGCAAATGGATGCAATGCTCAGAAAGTTCAAGAATTCACGTGTCCTTACAATAAATGTAGCCAGCTAAACCAATCACTTGCAAGTTTAAAAGCAGAGCTTGCAGAACTTTTCAGGTAATGACATTCAACTTCAATCATTGAATCTCATTTTTTGTAAAAATGTGGTACTTTTGAACTTTTGAAGCACGTAAAAAAGTACTGGAATATTATCTGCCTAGAAGTAAGCTCAAAATATTCTTGTTTGTACTTTCTTCAGGAGAAAAGATGGACTACTCAGAAGAATAATAGAAGCAAAAAAAGTGCAGAATGAGAAACTGAGCTTCTACTCAAAGATGGTGGACGTAAGTTTTTGTAATTTATTCAGATCAGATCGACCTTACTTTCCTTGAATATAATTTTCTTGTTTATCATAGTATATCAATATAATAAAGATCGTTTTCATGTATTTGATGACAAAAACTCACTTCAGCTAGCCAATAAATATTTACTTCCATTCTAGAATGACTACAGCAACATGATGGATGAGCTGAGACGCCAAGTTCTCATATCTAACGATAGGGTTAGAGGGGCCCAATTTGACATGGAAATGGCTGATTTTGACCTCAACCAAGCACACTCTCAGTTGAACAAAGAAGCAATGAACCTGGAGCTTTTCAAAATTGGGTTGACCCAGGCCAATGAGACCTACGCTGGCAAGTTGCTCTTCTTTCATCAAACGAATAGGCAAAGCTCAGAAAATTTTGAATGCTTACAAGCCCAACTTGTTGAGCAGAGGAAAAGTTTCAAGGAAGAGCTGAACGCCAAGCAGGTTCGTCTTGCCCGTCTTAAGATGGCCTTGCATTCAGCAAAAGACAAAAAGAGCTTGATCATGGGGCACTTGGCAAAAAGTCGTGAGAAAATTCTGAAGAATAAGCTGAAGAACGACAAAGAATTTGTCGATGTCTACGAAGAGCTTACAAAGAAGAAACATATTAATGCAGAAATGTCCCGTGCGTTGGAGATGCAAGATCGCATGATTGCAGGCTTGAAAGAAGAAGGTGCTTCTTTAGAAGAGGAAGTGAAGATTAAGGAAGAGAAACTGAAAAAATCTAAAAATAAATGGAAGAGAAGATTCCTCTCTTTCTTTTGCATTCGTGTAGAAGAAGACTGACTAAGTTGTGCATTTGATATTGTATTGTAAATATCTTTTCGATGGTGTATGATTGATGTTATTCGAAAATTGCCTTTTCATTCACTAGCTTTTCTGTTGTAGTTTAAGTGGCTTCGCCACATAATGATGCGTTTGCTTGATCTTTACAATATTCCAAGTAAAAAGGCAATTGACTTCAACGCTAATGATTGATTCAAGTAGGCAGATTTTATTTTTAGTATTATTATTTTTGAAAATATCCAGCCTAGTATTGATTTACAAGCTGCACTGCTCTAGACAAAATTGACAAGACAGGGGAACTTTCATTACCAGGCTTGTTAAGAGGGATATATCTAATTTGGCGATCCAAAGGATGAACTATTATTGTGTCAATAAAGGAAAGGCCACGATAGCAGGCTGCTCGACGGACTCCGATGGAATTTTTGTGGCAAAAAATCGATCAAATGTAGTTAATAAGTAACAATGCAACGCGACGAGAATTAACAACAACAAAAACACGTAAATCAGTTATGGCTAATATTCCGCAAGAAGGTTATGTCTAATTTGGCGATCCAAAAGATGAACTATTATCGTGTCAAAAGAGGAAAGGCCACGATAGCAGGCTGCTCGACGGACTCCGATGGAATTTTTGTGGCAAAAAATCGATCAAATGTAGTTAATAAGTAACAATGCAACGCGACGAGAATTAACAACAACAAAAACACGTAAATCAGTTATGGCTAATATTCCGCAAGAAGGTTATGTCTAATTTGGCGATCCAAAAGATGAACTATTATCGTGTCAAAAGAGGAAAGGCCACGATAGCAGGCTGCTCGACGGACTCCGATGGAATTTTTGTGGCAAAAAATCGATCAAATGTAGTTAATAAGTAACAATGCAACGCGACGAGAATTAACAACAACAAAAACACGTAAATCAGTTATGGCTAATATTCCGCAAGAAGGTTATGTCTAAATTGGCGATCCAAAAGATGAACTATTATTGTGTCAAAAAAGGAAAGGCAACGATAGCAGTCTGCTCGACGGACTCCGATGGAATTTTTGTGGCAAAAAATCGATCAAATGTAGTTAATAAATAACAATGCAACGCGACGAGATTTAACAACAACAAAAACACGTAAATCAGTTATGGCTAATATTCCGCAAGAAGGTTATGTCTAAATTGGCGATCCAGAAGTACTGCTCTACGGTACGGTCGGTACTTCTGTTTAGGGATTAATTTTCCTAATGGATATTCGTTATGCAAACACGTTTTAATGAAAATTCGATAAGTAGAGCAAATTTTAAAGCTGCGATAAACAAAAATCCCATCTTCACGACCCTGTTTTACTATGATGCTGAACATCGCGGTCTCACGGTCAAAGAACCTGAGGAGAGATGAAAAGAAGAGAAACTTATGTGACACACCCAAACGTCTCCATATTTTCATTGTTTTACCGAGGAAGGCTTTCAAAGCTCAAGGAAACTATCCGTCACTGGATCTCATCATTGGTTGTTTTGAGATGGGATTTTGAAGTAAGATCTTAAGTTTAGACAAAAAAATACAAAAATCGATTCTTGTTCTGATAGAAAAATTAAAAGGATATACAAAGCGTGTGTTCTCATGTCAGATCAAGTATTTGTATTTTGGTATTTACAAGTCCTTCACAAGAAAATCTTTAGTTCTTTCTAGTTTCCCGTCGTTTTTGTTTGGCTTTATACCAAGTATGCGACAGATAAGTTCATAAATATCCACACTTTCTATTGATTCCTTCTCGAACTTCTTCTTGAAAGCCGGACCAAATGCTAAAAAACCAGGGTTCATTTTTCGACACATGTTTGTATATCCGTGTTCACCGCGACAAAAGTCCTCTTTAAGGTATGGTACCTTTTCTTTTTTGGCACTAATGATCCAACCCGGGTCGGGCATCAAGATAAGTGGAGCAGTTCGATTGCATTTCTTAATGTGGAACACCTCTGGAATCTCTTTCCGCAAATAAACTTTCAAATGCGGATTCTTGCCTTTTAGCTTGTTATATATTTCCATTAGTTTTCCGGCCTTTGGCCATACCGATGCATACGTAAAGCCTGCTAAATACCGCATTGTCTTCACACTGTCAACATACTTGTCTATGTCGATGACTTTTTCATGGGATGTATTCATTGAGCCATGGTCACCTCAAGAGAAAATAAATAATTACTACAGCATGAATATGACATAGCTGGAAAAAGTACTAGAGAAGATATAATAAAAATTAGTAGTACTAGAGGAGTTATTATGCTTGTAATACAAACCACAGTCCAAAGCAGGACGTAATCTAGGTCTTAGTGCACTTGAGATAACTACTTCTAGCTTTGTTATTTTGTAAATAATCTCATGTTAGAGGCCACTGCAAACTTTTGTTTACTCTTCCAAACATCCCTGTTTTTGCGCTGCTAATCGTAACATGCAACCCATTAAACTTGGTGGGTCTAGTTTACCATATGATCCGTTTATTCTTAAGAAAACGCCCCAGAACATTTGAATTTATACGATACAACCAAATCAATTAATCCTTGGTTTTAGATAGCGAATACAACTGCGTGGTATGAAATTGTAATTGAATTGGAACCAGACTTGATTCCGGATGTTGTTTCCGATTTATCTCGTGTTGCCCTTGATCTTTCCTACTTTCCTAAGTGTGTTACTGTAGCGGAAACAATCAAACAAGCGACATCTCTATGAGAGAAACTAGGCTAGCATGCTTACCAATTATGATTATGTTTGTTTCATTAAGGAGATATGAGCTGTTCAGCTTCTCTATCAAATGTCCAATGGCAAGGTCAACATTCGATAAAGCAGTTTTGAACAGGTCTTTTACTTTTGTCTTATTCGAATCGGCTCCGTGATCATGTGTTGTGGCATCTGGTTCTTCAAAGTACAGCGCAACAAATGTGACATTTTTGCATTTCTCAAGCCACTTGACAGCCGTGTCAACTCTTTTATTGAAGTTCAATGATTTTTTGTTATCCTTTACGTAGGGAGGTGAGCCTGTATTTGATAAGGCACAGAATGTTAACAAGATTCGTCATAATATGCTAGATGATTCACTATGACGGTTATTATGACTCAGAACTAAGGCAAAATTACGATATTACAGTTAAAATTAATCAAGCTGATTTAGCTTATATGTTATGTCAGCTTGCATTACTGCGTTCCTCATTACCGCTCACCTAGCTACTTGAGAGAGTTTTAAAAAAGAGTTCAATATTTTTCTCCGATAGCCAGACTTATTTCAAATTTATTCAAACCAATGACTGATAGCAACTAGTGGTGTCAGTAATTATGTCAGGGCTGACTTCAAAAGCTAAACTAATACACATAGGCGAGGGAGCAACCTTGTCAGAAAAGCGTTGAAGTATCGTTATATTTATTTCAGACTTAAAGGAGAGGTTCAAAAATTCAATTAAAGTTCTTTTTATCAATCAAAAAGGTAGCAGCTCATGGAATAGGTATCATGGAATGTCTTTTTCTTTTCCACATCAATTTGGTATCTAATGCAAATTTTCAAAAGTACCCACAATACAAAAACTGCTTCTGTAGTAGGGGAATATTTGACCAGAGAAGTTTCTTATACTAAAATTCAGGGCCGCTTAGAGCCATGCCGGGCCCAGGTGCAGGCAGAATGCTTGGGCTCCATCCTACCTAAAAAAATAATCTTTAAATGTGCTTAGTATGGATTGAAAATTTGCAAAATTTCTTTACTTACTTTCCACTTAAATTCGTAAAGCATTGTAAGACTTTTCAAATGCTATTACCATTGTTGTTTACAGTCATATTTCAAATAGAGACATTTAAATTACCAGCGGGCCCCTGTTTGCTTACGAGCCCATGGGTAATTGCCCCCTTGTTCCCCCTTCTCGGTGGGCCTGCTAATATTCAAACTTACACTTAATAACTGCCCTTCACAGGTTTCACTAGACTAAAATGAATACGAATGTAAGGTTTTCACCTACCCTCGAATGTGAGGTTTGCACGTGTTCCATTCCATGTGACTTCATATCCAGGCCAGTAGCCAACACCACTTAAAAAACCTTGCTTCTGATTTGTAATCCACAATGGTTCTGCTTTGTTCCACCACCGCTCGTCTTTTACTCCTGGTTCAAAAATGGTTCCATTGGTTGGATCAAACATCCTATTATCAATAATCCCATGATTTTCCGGGTAAAGTCCAGTAACTATGCTTTGATGGTTTGGATACGTATTTGTTGGAAAAACGTTCTTCACATAGTCGACTGTAACTCCATTTTCTATCATTGTATGCAAATTGGTCATATTATAACCTTCATAATTTTTATAGTCCCAACGAAAACCATCGACTGATATTAATATTACTCGTTGCCTTGTCTCATTCCGAGCTGCCAAGCAAATGGCACTGGTGCAAAGCAATGTCCATGTTATGGTGACTTGTAACGATGTTCGCTGTTTGCTCTAGAAATTTTAGTTGAAATACATTAACTGTAAAGAATCAGCTTAAGAAAACTGGTATTAGGAAGTTGATCTTTCACAGTCCAAATTTTTCTTTATTTTAACTACTTGCTTTGAACATATGATTTGTATGATGTTATCCCAAACTATCAGCATATCCACACATTGTTTCGTTGTTTTCGAGGATGATATAATGTGTTCGCATATAAGCTGGAGAAACATTTGACATAAGCTTGGAATGTGCTCGATAAAAAGCCACTCGCATTAGCACAAGTTTCTCACGTATAGATAACAAGTTGCTTTTACAAACTTTGCAATTCGATGCAAATTTGTAAGGTACTTAGTTGTTTTTTCTCTGACATCCAAGTTTCTGATTTCATTTAAAATATCTAGTAATTTCTATAAAAACAGACAGGTCCTAAGAAAAAAGTTATAACTAGGAAATTAATACTATCGTCAATTGAATGTTGTCATTGTTAATTTTGCTATAACATCTACAGAAATTTGAAAGATCATGCAGGTAGAATGCGTCTTATACCTTTGAAGAGCTGCAAAATTCTTTTAAGCCCATTATTTGTATTTGTGTTAACGGTTAATGGCACTAGAATATTTAGATTATAAATGCAAAAGACTTACAGAAATCTTTCCCGCTTCCATACCTGCTAAAGCATCCAACAGTTGTTTGGGTGAGTAGCCAGTAATTTGACGATTCTTTTGATCAATCAACCATGAATGTGGATACCCACGGCCACCTAAGAGACTTGGAAAAGTACAAAAGATTGGCAAGATTTAGAGCAAGGTTTAGCATCAGCATCGAAATTCTTCAGTTTATTTTCCATAGAGCCCTAGCGATTTTTCCAGTATTTCAACAAATAAATCAATTTTCGAAACTCCACAAACGAAGGACTTTCGGATCTAGGGGCTTGTAGACATAGTTTGGTATCTTTGAAGAAAGAAGTCAGCTTGATTTTGGTGCAAAGTATTCAGCAGTTGTTTGCATAAAATAATGTCTTGATTTTGAAGAAGGGGGGATTCAGGGGTAGCTTTGTGTTTGAGTTTGAACTATCAAAGCCAAGCTGTCTCCGTGGCAGGGGACTGCGCACGTGTCGGGGCCGCCATGAAGTTGCGCACTTTTTTGTTTTCTGTGCCCAGTGCGCGCATTATGAAATAAACAAAATGCAACGAGGCATTGGCCTAATGGCGGACTTGAAGTAGAATGGTACATAATCTAGCATAGCGTAAGGAACCAATGAATTGCCATAATGTGGAACGATTTATCAATGGCATTGGCCTTCTAAGAACGTGAACAGAAAAAGCAATGCAGCAACTAACTGTCAATTCTTTGATTAATTTCCTACGCACGTCAGCGTTAGTGATATTTTATTACACGTTCTCGATATCGCTCACGTTTTACAACAAATGGATGATGAAGGTAAGGACTAGGATTTCTACCAACTTTCATTGAGTGTGTTTAATTCAACATTCGAAATTAAAGATAAACACGCATTTTTTTTTAAGAAACACATATATCAGCCCGGGGTGTTTTCTGGTCATCGTGTGATGTGAACCATTTCAGAATCAAAATGTCTGGTCAAATGTCTTTGGGAGATACTTGGTTTCCACTTAAAATTCAAAAAAAACTAATGCAAACCTGTCACCTACATTTTTATAAAATATATGAATATTAGCTGTTCCAGTTCAGTTGACCATTTCTTCTAATATAGTTACTTTTGAAAAAGAAGAAAACGATTCTTGCCATTTTTAGATGTTTTGGTTGAAAAGTCTACCACTGGATTTCTCACCAGTGTATATCACAAGCCAACTTTTACATACGGTGGAATTCATTTTCCCAAAACAACGCAAGGTCAACCTTGTCAAAACTTTAGTACATAGGACACTAATGATCTGCTCAAAAACTAAACTTAACGTTGAACTAGAAAAACTAAAATTGATCTTTCTAAACAACAGCTGTCCAGAAGATGTCATTTTGTCTTATGCTTAGGATAGGATCACTTGTTTTTGGCTTTTCAGAAGTTTGGTCCACAACAGTGCTGTGGTTTTTCTTAAACTACCATGACACTTCCTTGCAATTCGGCAGTCAGATTAAATATTTCTCTCAAAATATTTCTTTGCTGTCAATCCTAGGAGAGCCCTTCCATCCATTCAAAAGGATTGCATTCCTACCACCCAAAAGAGAGTTCTGCTGTTTATGAATCTAGTACCAGTGTGATTCTGGCTACCCAAAGATTGGGGGATATGATAAAACAACATGTTCCTTCAAACATAAGAAACAAAACTGCCCCTTAAAGAGAACAGCCTCCTTGATCTTGTAGGTCTAGAAACACTGTTAAAACAAGTGATTCTGCCATCAGTCAACATCTTTTAGAGAACTCATATTGTGCAAAACTCTAGAATGATAACATTTTTCAGTTATTTGAGAGCCTGGTCATCTTTCCTTCTAGCAGTTTTCGAATCAATCTACATACGAAGGAAAAAGCTGCCATTGTGTAGACAGAAGAAATTTGTTTTCTCTCTTTGACTCCAGTGGTAGGGGTGTACCGGATCAGGATTTTCAGAATCCGGCCGGAACTGGATTTACCGGATTTCTTCGTGGAATATCCGGCCGGATTTTACCGGATAATCTGGCCATTTATGGATGTTTCAGTGATAAAAAGTTTTGAACCATTTTGCGAAAAAATGTATAGCGAGAAGATCAAAGAGACCAATTCAAGGTTGCCAAATTGAATTTACAAACGAAGGCTAAACTGGTGAGTAATTTAAGCCAAAATGCTCACAAAAAGGCCAAATCAATAACTTTCTCAAGATTCCATCGTGCAGGCACTGGCTATATTTCTACGCTTGTGACTGTTAGATAATTTTTTAACTTAGATAAGAATCTTACTTTTTTCTAAAACCCTTTGCTAATATCAAGATAATATTTAGGTTAGGTGATGAAATTTGAAATTTGGTTAACACTTTGTAGTTAACTACTATTTCCATGAATGTAGTAATTACTCATTAATTTTAGACGTTCTGCTGAAAAGGCCAACAAGGTCAAATTTAAGAAGTAAGAAAAAAACAATTTTTCCAGGCAATCTAAATCTAAAAACCAAAAATGAAAAATTTGGCCGAAAAAGCCAATCTGGCAACCCTGGACCAAATTTGTGAATTATATCATCCAGTCTTCCTGTTTCGTGATGATGAGCACTTTCATTTCAAATCTATTTTCAAGGCGCTTGTTTTATCGTCGATCTTGTTTAGTTTTGGAAAATCCATTTTTAATCACTGTATGAAGAGAGTCTGACTTGGTTTTCCAAATTTTCTTAGTTATGATTAAAATTCTGGAAAATCCGGCAACTGGCTGGATTTCGGAAACAAATCCGGCCGGAACCGGATTTTCAAAAAATCAGCGATCCGGCGCCGGATTATCCGGCCTACCGGATATCCGGTACATCCCTATCCAGTGGTAATTTTTCTTTAGGCACGTAGCATTGATTGGATAATTATACTGGTCTTGTGCTTGC